TCGAGTGCAAACTTATCCAGCAAGTTTTACTTACCAACTCTATCTTGGTATATGAACATGTTTGGCATGTCAAACAAAGTAAGTTCTAAAGTATCATTTTAATAGTATTGTATTTCCTCTAATGTTCCATTTGCATACAGAAGGACGGATTGGGTTAATAAATGTCTACATCAACTTCAAATACTGAAATGAAAAGTACCAGCATGCATGAATCAACAAATCAGATATAGACACGTGTTAAAGTTGACAAGCAACATTTAATGCGATGGTGCTATAAAAGGTCATATTTGTCATGTGTTTCAACTCGTTCTGTTTTGAAAGAACTTATGAGTAATATTTTCATAAGAAAAATCGACATCACAATCTGAAGGTTTTCTAAGTACTCCAGATCTGAATAAGTACCTCCTTCTCCCACTCTTTCTGTTATATAATTCTAGCTTCTACAACAAAAATATGTAATTTTTGTTATACAAAATATAGAACTAAAAGTGAAAATTTTGTTGTGTTTGTGTTCAACCCTCCATTCTACAAACACATCATGTTTAAGTCATTACATTCTAGGACCAACATATATATATATATATATATATATATATAGGTTGAGTTCAGGTGAGAATGAAAGTTATGGTGAGAAGCGTAAAAAGAAATATTCACCATTTGATCAATCCTAATTGAATGTCAATACTAATGAGATGCACCAAGATTTACCGGGTTAATTCTCTTCTAAAACGCAATTCATACATGAACATGAGATTAAAAACATCTGGAAGTTCGCTCCCTGAGCGGGTGGCAAGGACGGCTATAACTATAATAGATATTTTACTCTAAACATATCTATGCGTTTCAAATCTTTGAAATGACACTGGTTTTTTGTAATACTATATTTGAAATATGGATGATTGCACTTTTAGCCTTTTTGGTGCATATGATCAAGATATTAATTGAGTTCTATTGCGGATTTGATTTTTTCTAGGGACTTGTATGGCGTGGTTTTATATTATGCAAAATTGTCAGCAAAATGCATCTTATTTTACATCTGTTTGATTATACATAATCAGAACTCCCTGTTAAGCACATTGAACACCTACAATGCCCTACGGTTTCGATTTAATGAGTTGAGTTGCATTTTGATTTTATTTGTTCGTCAGTTCAAGGACAAATAGCTATCAAAATGAAATGACTTTTCTCTCCTTTTTTAGGTAGTCGTGGCCTTGTGGGTATCTGTACGGTGCCATCTATATGCATGGATTAATCCTGTCATGAAGTCATCGCAGGTGATCAACAATGACCACAAGACTGGTTCAAACTCTAAAATCCACCATTATGCATGAAAACTAACGGCATTTCTAACATGATGAGGAACTATAGCTTAAAAGGAGACACACATAAAATCATTAGAGAATAATTAAATATTTCTGAAAATCACTTGGATTAATTAAGAACCCAGGTGCTATGAAATAGAAGCCCAATCATTCAACATTTGAATCCAATGCTAAGATCAGTCCGTTGTACAACTCATTTCAATATTGACGTAGAAATTGAGGTGTTTTACATTCAAAGCGGGTACAAAAGCCTATTAGAATTCAACTCTACATGTTTAACCTAAACCAAACCTATCAATTAAATGTAAACCAACCAATGAACTCATCTTACATCAATTCGTTTAACCAACCTTGAAAACGGCACGAAAATATGACAGTTTCCCACATTGTGGGTTGTGTCGTACCGTCAAAAAATGACTGTTTTACCATAAAGGTTAGCCGCATGAAAGGTACACGACTTTCTTAAACCAAATAGACAGAACTTTCAATATGAAACATAAAATTTCAACATGGAACTGATATTGTTGATGCCAAGGACTGATGTGCAAGGATCAAATACTTTACTATCGGTAAGAACCTTCTTGAATAATGTCGGCAAGTACGTTCTTTGTTGGGCTGAAATCAATTCATTAATGGTTTTTTTCCTAATAAATGGCGTTTTTGCCATTTGTTTGCTTATTATACTGCAAATCTCGACAACTTATAATATAGATACTTGTTTGGGTCTTACTACTTCTGTAATATACTTCTCAGGTGTACGGGTGTTCATGGATTGCGCTTGTCGGACTTATATTCCTTTTTAAGGTACACAAGTTTAACATCAAATCATAAAATGCTATGAAGTGAAGTAAATTGGTGTATTTTTTAATTGGGTCTTTTCTTCCCGTTGCTGTTTTAATGTCTACAGATTTGTACATTCAGCCAGAAAATATTGGTCAATTTTCAACTGATCTTTCATTTTGTACAAGGAGTTACCTTCATGCTTGCACTTGCTGGTATAACGGATGTTGTTGTGTATACTGGCCTTATTGTTACCGACGTATTTGCTTGCACCTTAGCCTTCGTACCCATTGGTTGGGGATTACTTTCGGTATGTTTTCTGGACTTGTACAAGTCCTTTCTTTATAAAAGGGTTTTACACTTGAAACTTCACAACAAACAATGTGAAGGTAAAATAATCTGAACCTTCACAGCAAAAACACCGTGAAGTTTACCTTGTTTTGCTGTAAAGTTTCAAGTGTAAAAAAACGGTCATGAGTCTCACGAAAACAGACTGGTCTCACATGATCCCAACTCTCAAGTCTCTTTTAAAATTTCTATTTTGTTGTCTCATTTATATGGGTAAGTTAAATTGTGGTGGTTGGTCTCATTCTATTTATGGGAAGAAACAAAGATGTGACCATTAAAATCAAGGATGGAATAACCAAACAAACTCAATATATTTCACTTAAAACCAGGGTTTGGGGATGGAATATGGCTGAGCTGTCTTACAACCCAAAAAGATAGAGTGGTTGTTTTTATGAAAACCCTAGTTTATATGAAAGTGTGAACCAAAGGGAATGAGGATGAAATGAACAGGTATAAATAAATGGAAATATTGATGTTCTTTTCTATCGTTTTGTTTTAGATCTGTGTAGCATGGAACCCCGTGTTGAAAAGGGTTGGATTATGGAAATCAGTACGATCTCTTGGTCTGTTATACGATGCTGATCTTCATCTCTATTGCCGTATGTTTGTGGTTCCCATTCATCTCAACGTTCCAAACATGCCTAATGTTCAACCAAGCGTTCAACCGAGGTTTGGAAATCTCCCTCATCCTTGTTGGAAACAACCCAAATTTTGGGTTATAGGGGTCATATTGGCTTTTGTACATGCAGACTACTTAACGTGAAGCTTACTAGTGTCATTTAGTACTTCGATTTACAGATTCTAGTATTGAAAATCCAGGCTGTAAATCATGTAGGATTTGACAAATCTTGAATATCAAATTTGTGTGATATTTTTAGACACCATGAGTTAGAAAAGAGCAAACCGGCTTTATCCGGTACTGTCGCTGTCACTGAGGCTTAACAAATCTCGGTTATAGTTGATTATTAGGTAAAAATATAGGAGCTGTTAGTGTTTTTTTTTTTTTTTTAATCTCAACTGGTTTTTTAATAAAGTATGAATAATTAAACTATATTTTACATTGACATTCTCTTTTTACCATTTGTGTTGTTTGATATTGTGTGTTATTACAATGTAGAATTGAGATGTAACGCACCATAAATCAAATAATATTACATTTTTTAATCATAAAAACAAATAAAGAAAACGTAAATTCATATAAAAATATTAAAATATAAGAAAATGTTTCAGTTAAAAGACCATCAATTCATCAAAATATAAGACCGCAGCACTTGCTATCTATTGGCTTCTTTTGTCAAAGTCAAACTATTTGAACATTTTAACCAAATAATGTTGTTAAAAAAGCTTATAAAATTATCATATACAAATGAAATATAGCTTATTCGGGTTAGTTAAATTTTTAAAAAAATATTAAGATAAAATATTTTTAGATTTTTAACAAGTAAAACAGTTATAAGTAATTAATTACATTTCATACACAAACTTAAGAGAACAGTAAATTACGGAATCCGTCCCTAAAAATTTATGAAAACTTTGATCTCTAACTTTCTGAATTACAAAGAACATCCTCAATTAGTCATTTTTGTATAGATTCTTGTCTGTGGTTGTCCATTACGAGGTGACGTTGAGTGTTCTCACGTACTAGTTGTAATCACAAGCATTCAGTCATTTTTATTCTGCTTCTTCCTCCTCCAAAACACTCAAACCCGTATAACATTTCCAAATTCAAATCCATAAAATATTCATGCATAAAATGAAATACAAATCATGATTACCATCCTGACTATGTGATTGTGACTCGTTATCAACTTTATTAAATCCAAAACCAAATAAAATTAAAGGGTATACATTTATACAAGAACTAACAAACATCAAAACAACTACGATCGTGAAATCCAAAAATCACATAAAATGAAGGAACCTATGTATACTATTAAGCATCAAAAAGAACTGCTATCGTGAAATCCAAATTCAGCAATCATGGAGAAAAACTATAGTTTATTTCATCTTTTTTTTTCTTCAAGCATATCATAGATCCAGATGCAAAATGAGGGATGCAGAATCTTTTTTTTTCTTCAAGCAACAATGGTTGATGAGAGATAGTCAGGGTTGCTACAAAGGTGGGTTGCTAACAACAAGATGAAGATGAATATGTGAGCTGAGTTTTTATTTTTAGTTTAGGTTTTTTTTTTTTTTTAATTAAATGTTTACACCTATGCATTAAACACATGTACAACAAAAAATATTTAGTAAAGGAACATGTCAAGTTACCAAAATACCCTCACGTGACGTGACTAGCAAGTGGGTTGCTTAACAAAACAAACTTACTGAAGTTGAAACCATAAGGGTATTCCTTGTAATTTCAAAAACGTGGGGACTATATTTGTAACTTACTCGAAATACAATATCGACGCATACCGACTCAGATTTGCATACGAGTATACGACACCAACCGTGGCCGTCCGATCAGCCAAATTAATCCCAATCGTCCATCTCGTCATTCACCTGTCTATATAAACCAACCACGGGCATTCTTCGTCTCCACATAAACGCTACCTCTTCGATTCGCAAGACGATACCTAAACATCACAAAACAAAATTCTTGATATTCATAAAATCAAATCGACGATTGTGTGTCTGATAATTGTTCAATTAATTCTGTTCGTGTTAGATCACACAGATAATCGTGGATATCGAGAATCAATCTTGTTTTCTGCTAGGTTTAGGGTTTCTTGAATTTTTTTCGCCCTGATGGTTGATGTTTATTGTGTTTAATCGGTAATCTCACAACACTTAACTCTTGAATCACGATTATCGTTTATTAACTTGTGTTGTTTCAGGATCTCGAAATCGAAACTCTTAGGGTTTTGAATCTTTGTTTTTGTATTTATTTGGATCTTGTATAAATCATCGTTTGAATTTGAAAAAGGGGCTTTTAATTTTCCGATCAAGACTTGTTCGGAGGTTTATAGATTAATCTCAGTCGGCAGTCGCGATGAACGATCAGACGCAGATGATGAAGCAATCTAAGATGAACCAGTCGCAGATGATGAGTATGGGGCAGCCGTTGCCGCCTGTAATGAGTCAGCCACAACAGGTAATGAATAACCAGAACTCTCAAATGTATGTGAACCAGTTGATGAATCCTTCCCAAATGATGGTGAATCAATCGCAGCCCCAGGGGATGTTGAACCACCGAGGTGGTGGTGGTGGTTACGGAATGTGGCCTCCGCCACAGTTGGATCAGCTCAAGTTCCAAAACCCTAATATGAAGCCTTCCGGACTTGGCTCGTCTTCGTTGAAGTCTATGGGACCACGAATCAACAAAAATTGGAAGGGGAAAAAGGGAAATGATAAGTGGAATAACAATAATAGGAAGGAGTTGCCGGTCATGGGTGGAGCTAGTAGTATTAGCAACAACAGCGGTGGTGGTGGATATAATCCTCCTACACTGAAGGAATTGCAGCAACAGAATCGTTTGAAGGCTAGGAGATACTTCCCAAAGAAGAAATTCAATCATGGTGGTAGATCGGCCCCTTTTGCCCCTAGAAACACCACTTCCTTTCTAATTCGTGCCAAGAAATCTGGTGGCATTACGTCCCTGGTGTCACCGTGCCCAGTGACACCTGCCGTGTTACCCACGCCGATCTTTTCTCCATCCAGGGAGGTTTTAGTGGACATGGCGAAAGAAGAGTGGGGTGTTGATGGGTATGGGTCGATGAAAGGATTAATTAGGCTGAGGTCGGGAAACGAAGCAGATGCACCTGAGGACGAGGAGGAAGAAGAAGGTGGGTCGAGTGAGAGTGATGTGGAGGAACATGTGGAGGTAGAGAGGAGATTGGATCATGATTTGAGCCGATTTGAGATGATTTATCCGAATTACAGTGGCGCTGACCATAGCAGTTACCTTTTGGAGAACAGAGTTGATGATCAAGACACCCATATAGCCCAACTGGAAGAAGAAAACTTGATATTGAAGGAGAGGTTGTTCTTGATGGAAAGGGAGTTTGATGATTTGAGGATGAGGTTACAGTGTCTAGAGAGGCAGAGCCGCGGATTAGAAAGACTTAATGAAGAGGTTGTGGAGAACGATTCTGAAAACGAAAGTGAGAGCAGAGGTTATGGTCGGTCAATGGAAGACAATAATGAGGTAACGGAAGAAAACAATGAACGAAGTCAACATTCCGAGGATAATAATGGGGATACTGAATTTAAGCAATCTGATATCATCGAGAAGGGTGTGCAGGAGATGAGGGTTGGTAACGTTACAGATGGCGAAGCAAAGGGTTATGTCAATCCATTGAACAAGGATGAGGAACAAAAAGATTTAGACATTTGTATGGAAGAACAAATTCAGAAAATTGAAGTCATTGAATTGAAAAAGGAAGATGATGAGGTAGCAGAAAGGCATAAGAACATTGAAAAATTGGGTATGCTTGAAGAAAATGCTGTGGAGTCTGGTAATGAAGTCTCAGAACCTGCAAAGGAAGAAGAAAATGCAGCAAATGGATTGAAAGAAGAAATGGCATGAAGTAAGAATCCATAGAAGTCTTTTAAGTTCTTTTGTTAATATAGTCTCTTTTGCTGTCTAGTTTCTTGATGAATGAAGTTATATGCAAAATGTGCAAATCACTTTTACATGTGTCTCAAGTTAACTTTGGAGGTTTTTCAAGTCTGCCCAATTCAATTGCTTATTTTTCTTTATTTTAGGTTTGGAAAAGTGGGGTGTGGGAGAGGGTTTTAGGTAAAGTTGTGGGGTATTAGTTGGGGGGATCTATATTGCAATTGATGTTTTTGGACCAACTATGGAGATCCTTGATGTACACATTTGGCCTAATGCTTTCTCTAAATAATATTTCTAATGATTTCAATTTCCCTTTCTTAATTGAAAACTGCTAGTGCATGTCAATTTGATCAGATTACAACCTACCATCCAACATTCATCAATCTTGATCATTTTGTTATGTGGTCTGGATAGCGAAGCTCCGAGAAGTGGTGATTATTGTTATAAGCTTATTGGGATGCAAATGTTTTAAACAAATAACGTCTAACAAACGATGCAAATATCCTTTCTCGACTATTCAGATAGATATGGGATTTGAATAGTTAGATGCTTTTAGTAACATGGTTGTATTTAGTAGTTACATAGATGCAATCAAGTTTCTGTCACAAGTCAAATGGAACTTCTTGGTTTCATGTATTCCATATTTTGCATAGGAGAAAAAAGCATCCATTTTGTAGTTCTGTACTCTTATTATCCTTCAGGTTGGCCTATGGATGACACTTTGCACAATATCTGCGCATATCTTATGTTATGTAGCATCCATTTTTGCGAATGGTAGGTCTAAGTATGTTTTGTAGGCTTATGTGATTCCGGCCCTCCTTATCTTCTCAAATTTAGCAACGTAACAATCGCAAAATATGCAATGTCATTAGGGACGAACTGAAGATGTAATATGTCAACATACCATAAAAAGGGAGCCAGATAGAGCACAGAGCGAAGGGTACGTCTCATCTAGCCAACAAAGATGGTAGGCTTTTCGTTCTCTCCGGAAGTCTACTCTCTACGTTGCCTAGGTCAAACCCATTTATTCTATTCGATGTTCTCTCTCGTGGCAATACTATTCTCTCGTAGGTTATTCAACTATGTTATCTCAACTTCGAAGGAAAAGACATGCCATGCAAGTCATTGAAAAGTTGCGCAGACTTGGCAATTGTTTATGTTACCAAATCACTATCACGAGATCGTATAAAAACCCACAAAAGATGCTGGAATCTACTATCCGTAAGTCATAATTGGCTAACATAATTCATCAACTATATGTATTTGCCTCTCATTTCAAAGCTAATATGTTCCTACATAATGTCATTCCGGAGAATGATACGAGAGAACTACAAAACGGAAGCATTTTTTCTCGTATGCAACATATGGGACACATAAAACAAGACCTAAGTCTTGTCTCTATTTGGATAGTCAAGATAAACTTCAAGAATAATACAAATATACAATCATTTACTATAAGAGAAAAATGGGAGATATTTAGGTATATAACTGCTTAGGTTTGGAGAGTTTAAGGGGGTGTTTGGTTCACAGAATGATTTATGAAGAAATGGAACCTGTCGATGGAATTGGAATGAAATGTGGAATCTGGAAGGAATTGGAATGAAATGTTATCAGGTTTGACCAAGTATTTGGTTGACAAGAATGGAATGTGATATGTTCAATGGATTGGAATCTGTCTGTTTGGTTTACAATAAAATCAGAATGGAATGATGAAAAAAGACAAAAATATCATTTCTTTGATATTTTTTTAAGTTTTTTAATCACAAATACTAATAAAATTAATATCTAATGAGCAGATTGTTTGACTTTTAGATTTTTGTGAGCTCTATTTGGCTGCCATCTCGGAACAGAAATCAGAAACACTAACAGAAATGAGAACAAAAATCGGACAAAGAAATCGTACATCAATAGAAGACGGTAAGCAGAAATCATATGCATAAATCAAAATCGGAAGCAAAAATCGTGTGCAGAAACCGAAATTTGAAGAAGAAACTGTATTACGGAAATCGAAATCAGAAGCAGAAATCATAAGTAGAAATTGTATCTGCAGTCTTGGATCGATGATGAAGATGAAACAAGTCATACAAGATGAGAGAAACCAGGTTCGATATTGGAAGCAGCAGATGAGAATGGAAAAGGTGCGCCTAGGGTTGTTAAGTTGTAATGAGGGTATTTTTGTCATTTTTAAAATTTTGGATGAAATGGATTCCAATTTCATCTCTTTTACGAAGGAATGGTGAAATCCTTAAATGAGGGAATGTTCGGAATTCAATTCCATGGGTAACCAAACATCGGAATGAAATTTAGTCAACAAAATTGACCATTCCAATTTCATCCGATTCCGACGAATTCCAGTGAACCAAACGTCCCCCTAAGGTTTATATGTTGAAGTCACTTTCTCATATGCCACAACTGCGACTGTTTAGATGTTTCTTCCATATAAGATTTAACCATTCTGCACACTCAATAATCTTTGAAACAAGACAATACGACGGTTTCGAAACGATATGAATTTTAACTTTCGAGGACAAAGCGTATCTCAAATAATTCCCGAATCAATTTTAATTCGTTAGTCGATGGGACGATAGGTCTAACAGGCATGGTGATCAAGGGATGTTCTGCCACCCGCTTTCTTCGCATGGATATTACCTGGCGATATACTCATCCGTTTCAAAAAATTACAATAAAAAGGTGAATCGTTTAATCTTATACACCAATCTTCCAAATAACGTTCGAATTAGTATCTATAACACAACAAAAAGATCGCCTAACATGTGATCATATAAACACAGCGACCATCTTCAAAGTTTCTGAATCTGAAAGAATGGTGTCGTGAGATCATTAGCATACATCACGAAAGATTTCCAGCATTGTCGAACCGTTTGCTATAGGCCTTCAAAGAAAGAAAAGTGAAAAACTTACATTTTTATGGGAATCCAAGTGCGGGTTTTTGTCAACGATCAACACGAAGGTGAACGAAAAGAATATTGCTATATCCTCGGGTTATCCTGATCTTGTCGTCTGAATATCTACAAAACACAAAGCTCGTCACAAGTACAACAATAAACAATGACGAAAGCGTAAGTTTAGATCACTTACAACACTTCCAATTTGAATTTGGTTACTAGCTCAACCGGAAGCCCGTAGGGTCCAACCACTATCGCACCATCATCCATCGTTACATCATAGACGTTGGTGCCCGATTTCCTGCATCCAAAGATCAAGTCAAAATTACCTACTTACACCCATAGATACTGAGTAAATCTTTACAAGATTCTTTTATTTTGTCGTTAGTAAAACAACTTTAGTATCGGAGTTCGGATAGGAAACCTACTCGAAAGTTCCGTTCATGGAGAATTTGAACCCGAACAGTATGTCAACAAGAAACTTGAGTCTTCCGTTCTCTTTGACGATCTAAAGTTGTAAAAGAACAAATTCGATACACAAATCCAAATGAATCAATTATTCACGTGTGAATAATGGTCATTTTAAGAAGATGAATCAGTAAAATAGATGGGTGTTCGATATTCATGAATTTTGATATGAAACATATATCTCACCTGTGAGCCCATAAGACCATTAGCTGCATTCTCTATCCAACTATCCGTTTCCATCTGAGAAAAAACAACGATATAAATCAAACTTTTCAGCAAATAGCTACTTTATCAGCTAATTTGCCAAATATAAAATACTCGATCTCCTTTTAGTTCAGAAATTGTGGCAAAAAATTGACCTGTGAACTCCAAATCATTTGCCATTCGCCTTCAACAAGTTGTTGTTCGCCCTTTCTTGCAGTTTGATTTAACGAGACAAACTCATCAATCGCCTGCACGATGACGAACAAATTGGACATTTTTTATCTATGGACAACATTATAACAGACTTAAAGATTCGTCACGAAGATCTGAGAGCAATTTCACCTGAATCACTGAACTACCGGAGGAAATTGCAGAAAGCAATCTTTGTCGGGGTTCAGTTCGCTTCTGAAGTACAAACGTCGTCCCCTGCACTACACCAACGTAGCTTGGTCAGTCAGCAGCATGGCCGACTAGATCAGCATCAACATGTTTACCTAGGGACTGATTTGAGTTAATTTTATGTCAAAGAGCCGAATTACAGTAAGTTACCTTATTTCCTCTCGAGATCCGAATGTTTCCAGATTCCGACAAGTACGTGGTGTCTAACCAACCCTTTGCTTCATCGCCTAGGAGTCTAAAAGGCACCGGATACGGGACCTTAAAGGGAATAAACTTGAATGCGAATGCTGCTTTATCGAAACGGAAAAGAATCCTTTTCCCATCTTTGATTGTAGCTGCAGCCTGAGATCAACCAAATCACGATCGTGTCAAACACAACCATCAAACTTACGTTAAAAAGCAATGATAACCGAATCGATCAACAAAGGCGTACCTCAACTTTAAGCTCACCTATCGCATCGGAGAATTTGACGATATTGGAAACCCGCGGATCGTTTGTTTGAAGATAAATTTCTTGAAATACACTGAACAAATCAACTCCAACGAATGTTCTCTACAAGAATCACGTAGTTTTGGTTAATTTTCGAGCTAAACGTTTGCATAAAACCTTCAAGAGAGATGAGTCGGAGTATAACTTGGATCGGGGAGGCGGTTCCAGGTCTCGTCGTGAAGATCAACTGCCAGCGGCCCTCGATCAGACTCGAGCTGGTCTTTGAATAGTTTCATGTCATTTAGACCAAGTATAAACAAGGGACATGTAAGAGTATAATCTTTCTATGAGAGTAAAAGCTTAGGGTTTTTAGATCACATACTGGTTCAGGAACGCCTTTAGTAGCTTCTAGAACTTTCACTGCTTCTTCAACGTCCTATACAGTTCATGAGAAATAATAACATATATACATACATATATATATGTGTGTGTGTGTGTTTCTCTCCCATCTCACTCGGATGTTTCTTACAAATATGAAATTTGCTGTACGGTTGAAAATGCACTTAACGGTTAACTTCTAGATTGATGATTTGATTTAATTTTAACCATCTCAATTTGATCTCTATTTTGGATGATTCGAGAAGATACGCACAAAATGAAATCTGGTCAGTTTAGCATAGAGAAGAATATGTAGTAATACTTTGAGTTGCAGAGGAGAAGCAGAGCGGCCACGTCCTTGGATACCAATGAGACTGCTGATGAGTGAATTCTCAGCATCACTGAACGAGTTCTCCTCAGTTTGCTGAATCTGTTCTTCGTCGACGGCAGAACAGGAAATACGTCGATGCGGATGCTTCAGATCCAAAGATGTCGGAAATGCGATTGGTCGAATCCTTCTTTGATTCAGGGAGGTAGTATTAGTAAGGGGAAGAGGATTGAATCGGAGCCCTAAATTTGCTAAATCGATTGAGCAGGCCATTTTCGATTAAACAAAAAATGATCTCGGAAGGGGTTTAAACTGGCGCCACAACATCCTGAACGATAATTATTTTGATTTATGTTGCACGGTTCTGATAAAATCCGACCCCACCTGGCTTTTATCATTGGTTAACAATTACTCGATTTTAGCACAAAAGTATGCGTGATACTTGGCTCCAAATTTAAAAATCTGTTCGTTCGTTGTAGTGATTATCTGGGTTTCAGTCCATTTCTCAGAGCTGGTTAACCTAAGCACACATACCTCATTCTTGTATATGAATGAGGCCATGACACCATTGAATCTTCAGCATCTGCTTTACTCACCCTTTGGATATTTTTATTGTCAGGCGAGAACTCTAGAGGGATAGTTACAGTGCCAATAATGAATTATGATTGAAAACCGGAGAAATGCTTATAACCCTCCAGCTGTTCGAAGAAATTCCTCAGTGACAGAGAAACAGTTTCTATAAACCGTTTAAATTTCTGGTTATGTAGGCCATGATGATTACCTTTTTCTAGTTTGAAAAAGGTTCAAGACATAAACCAGCTTATAAAAACATCATTAGGGTTTTGCAATGTGGTTTGAGATGGATTCTGCTTTTTCTGCAGTCCTTAGATCTTGTGCAACCCAATTTTCACTCTTTGGCATTATAAGATCAGGTTTGGAGTCGAGTGAATTTGTAACCTGCTGTTAATTGTTATGTATTCCAAATACAGGGCCACTGAGGATACCAGAAGAGAGTCAAGAAGGTACCAGGTTGGAGATGGACAGAAATTCAAATAAGTTGCCAATGGCCATATGTAACAACTTGTCCACATGGATAGAAAATGAGATCTGTGAGCTCCTTATAAGCCTCACGTTGTGGGGTACCAATATAGTTTTAAATTAATCCAGAGGTTATTGGGTCTTTCTACTACTTCAGTAAGTGGTTATGATTTGGGACAGTTGATCATGGATGGACTTGGTATGCTGTATGCCTTGATGTCAAAATGCTTCATTTTCAACAGAATCTACGAGTCTTCAAAAACCAGACAAAGTTCAGGTACAAAATCCATTTAATATGCATGTATTGGGGGTCGTTTACCAAACACTTACCAAATCACAATATCTTACCGGATGAATATGACAATTTTACTCGGTAAGAGCGAAGGCAAGGACCGAGAGTCTTATGCGGTAAGTGAGAACGACATCTCTTACCACGGTTAGCGCTTTTATCGGGTAAATAGTTGCATAGATACGGTTTTGGTGGACTAAAATATTACTAGGTAAGTAAGTGATAGTTTGAATTTTGCCGGTAAGCGTTTGGTAAAGAGCCCCTTAGACATCTGATTGTTGAATGTTTGAACTTAAAATCGACAAAATTGAGTTTCTTCATATTTAGAATAGAAAGATCGGTCTTGCACACACCATGGATGGTTTATCTTTATAAACTTTATTGACTTATGAACCGGAAGTCCCACATGTACCACTAAGTTGTCTAGATAAGACAGACCACAAATCCAAGCACACAACTTCTTCTTGATTTGTCGAAACAAGTAGAGAAAGAAAAAAAACTGGAACTATCTCTTCGTTTAAAATAAAACAAGTGGTAGCTTTTGATGCAAGAATACAAAACTTAATACCGACTAATTAACATCATTGGTGCAAAACATTAACCCCAACTACTGCCATCTAAGATTGATGATGATGATTAAACGTTGATTGCGCAATACGCACTACTGGAGGTTAAGGAGTTGACAATGCATTTTAGTTCTACCAGCACTAACAAGATTGAGTTTATGTTTATTCATCAACTCCCAAGACATATTCTATGTAATCTGTTCACACTCAACCGCATATATCCCACATTTCAGTCAATTTGTGCGATATTAAATTCCTTAAACCATTCAATTTATGCCAACGTTATGTTTAGTGCAACTTACATCGTTTAGGACGACGCCTGTATGTGGATAGTCTACATCATAGCCGCTACAATAAAATCAGTGTTTTAGGACGACAATATGTCTAATGTTCTAATAAACTACTTTATAGGGCTTAAATATGTAGGACCACGCTTATGGGCATCCTAATTATTTTTTAGGATATTTTGAAATAAATCGTCATATTAGTCTTTACAAAAACCAGTGTTCTATAAAAAAAACTAATGAGACACTTTATTTCAAAAATGGCCTAAAAAACTTGTTAGGATGCTCATATACGTAACATCTTATGTAAAACATTTATATAGGACGTACAATTGTTTGATTTTATAAACTCAAGTCCTATAACATTTGGACATTTTTGTTGCTTGTAGTCTTGTTCTCTCTTGTCCATGCTCTTTGTTATTTAATATATTGGCTTTTCAAAAGAAATAAATGTGAAATCGATTTTGTTGTAGTGAGCACGTTGGTTTAGATAGTTTTGTCAGCATGCATATGTATCGTATATATTAATATATCTTTAGTTACTTCCAACTAATCGCATGACCGTGGCCCTCGCGTATAAAAACGATAACTTGTGAAATTATTGCCAGTGAATATTGTATCTTTGGTGTTGAAGTGAAAATAAGATGCTTAAAACCATGAAGAGCTCAAGTTGCAGTACTTGCTTTCCATGGCTTGTGACCATGTCTTTGTGTCTTATTGCAAGATCTCAGCTAACTGCAGATTTCTACTCAACTTCATGTCCTAATCTTTTCAGCGTTGTACGCAGACAAGTGTTCAGCGCGGTGAAGACTGAATCAAGAATGGCTGCTTCTCTGCTTCGGCTTCATTTCCATGATTGCTTTGTGAATGTGAGATCTTTTCTTTGCACAATATTAGTTTTGTAAGCTACTTATAAGCTCAAAGTTGTGGACTAACAATAACTTTCACTATCATTTTAAGTTGATTTGAAGGTTATTGGGTCAGACTGTTGCTTAGGGGTAGGGGGCTTACAAGTAGCCACTGTTGCTAGATGTTCTTACCTCTTGCTAACAAAAGGAACATTTCAACTTACTGGTGGTTAACCCCATGTTTTGTGTCACAGGGTTGTGATGCATCGGTTTTATTGGATGGAAATGATGGAGAGAAGTTTGCCTTCCCGAACATTAATTCAGCTAGGGGATTTGAGGTGGTTGACGCTATTAAAACCGCTGTAGAAGGTACATGCAGTGGAGTAGTCTCATGTGCTGACATTCTCGCCATAGCTGCACGAGATTCGGTTGTCTTAGTAAGTCGATGGTGTTCTCTTGATCTGTGGACTTGTGGTTACTGGCTGATGCTAAAAAATACGATTTGCACCCAAGGGCCAAGGGCCAATGGCCAGCGGTATCTGGGTATCAGTAGATCCAACCTCATTGGAGGTTAAGGGATTAAGCCTCATCAAAAGCTAAGGAATGTGTGTGAGTTTTGTGTATATAAATATTATAGCTTTACAAAAAGAATACAATTTGCAGAGTGGAGCGCCTTCATGGAAAGTCTTGCTAGGAAGAAGGGATGGACTTGTGGCAAACCAGACAGGAGCCAATACTAACCTCCCTGGTCCCAATGAGTCGATTGGTATTATCGCGGCCAAGTTTGCGGCTGTCGGTCTCAACCTTACAGATGTTGTATCCTTATCAGGTGCGTTTTTGGTTTGTAGTACAAAGTGCGCTTAGTATGCAGATTGGATTTATCAGGCGAAAGTGAGGTAGGCCAGTGAAAGATTCCAAAAGATTTTAGGATTTTAATTTGACATGAATAGTTTAGTAATTTTTCAATTTTCTCCACATCTCCCTATTTTTGTTCCAACTATTTTGGTAGGATAAAAGAAATGGTGTCTTAATCAGTCTTGTCCTATCCCAATCTTATGTCGTGCCAAACATGTGATAACATGTTTTTGTCCCTGCATACGAACCGTCCCATGAAATTTGTAACATTTCTTGTGTGTTTTTGGATTCCAAACTGCACAGGTGCACACACAATTGGATCTGCAAAGTGTGCTGTGTTCAGCCATAGGTTATTCAACTTTTCTGGAACAAATGCTCCCGATAAGACGTTATTGGACCCAGCCATGGTATCAGACCTTCAAGCTCGGTGCCCAGTTAACGGAGACGGGAACAAGACCACGGCTCTCGATCGGAACTCCGTGGACCTGTTTGATAATCATTACTTCAAAAACTTGGTGAATGGTAAGGGACTTCTTGAATCTGATCAATTCCTGTACTCGAGTGATGAAGCTGTGTCAACTACACGAAGCCTTGTTGAAGTCTATAGCAACAACCAACAGCTTTTCCTCAATGACTTCGTTACATCAATGGTCAAGATGGGGAACACGAGTCCGCTTACGGGCTCCAGCGGAGAAGTTCGAAAAAACTGCAGGGTTGTGAATTCATAGAAGAAAAAATTTGTGCATGTGTGTGGCGTTAATAAATAAACAGAAAGTATAGGGACTGCTTTTGTCATTGTTTATTTCTGTTTTCAGCTGTTTAGGCTTCAACAAACTTCTCCTTCTCCCATCATTCCGTCTTTTATGTTATCTACGCTATCTTAGAGAAATCTACCTGCAATTTTAGAAATTTTTCGAGATCCGAGAAAAGTTCGTTCCAATAGCTATGCTAAACTTTTCCTGAGGGAAACGAGAAATCTCCAAATACGGAAAAAGAGAGAAAATATAGCATATCTGTTGGAGATGCTCTTACAATATCATTTATACAATCACACGTTTCGAAAATCCGAATCTTGAAAGCAAACTATAAACTCGAACTACAAGCATGAAAACACGATTATCAAAACCAGATAAGTCTCTTTTCTACATAAACCAAACCAAAAAAGCCCAATACATCCCATCTGGAGGTGGGGTCGGGGGGGCTTGGGATGTAGCAGAACTGACCTCTATTCCTAACAGTAGAGCGGTTGTTTTCACGAAGACTACCTTTCAAGAAAGCCCTTTTACCGTTCCAGTAGTAGTGTCGAGATCAATGTCGTAGAAGCAAGGTCTCGTAGGAAGCCCTGGCATTGTGCTCATAGTCCCAACCAACGGGTAAATAAATCCGGCCCCAATGCTTGCCCTTACATCCCTGATCGGCAACACAAATCCACTCGGTGCGCCTTTGGCTGATGCGTTATCTGAAAACGAGTACTGAGTTTTCGCCATGCAGATCGGCAGCCCTGAGAATCCTTGTTTGGTGTACATCTCAATCTGTTTCTCTGCCTACAAGAAATTAAACACAATGTGAATTTACACATTTGCCCCTAAGAGGACGAACACAAACAAAAATTCGAGTACCTGTTCGGAGTATTCGACACCACTGGCACCGTATGATCTTGCTATAGCTTCTATCTTGTCTTTGATGCTCGCATCCAAAGGATACAAGAATTTCAAAGGCTTAGTTGCACTTTCGCAGGCCTTTCGAACCACAATGCCAAGGTCAATCTGGTAAAATCACATGAAATAGCATGCTTAAAGGTCTACAATGGAGTTAGGGGCCGTTTACTGAAAAATATTGGGTAAGCGCTGATCAGGAGGATCTGACCAGATAAGCAAGCCTGCTTCTGATCGGGTCAGCATCTCTGTCATCAACATTTGTTGGTTAGAAGATGTTGGTAAACAACATTATCTCTTACCCATTAAACACTACTTACCCGGTAAAAGTCTATAAGCACTTAGTAATAAGTTCTTAGAAGTTTGGAGTACAGTGGATTTAGAAATTTCGAGTTGAACTAACCGCTCCTTTTCCACCATGGGCATGATGAGTGCAGAGGACAGCATCATATGCACCAGCGGCTAACGCAGCAGTCCTCACAGCGGCTATTTCTGCGTCCGTATCAGTCGAGAACCGGTTCACGGCCACGACAACATTCACGCCATAAGCCTTTGTGTTCTTAATGTGCCTAGCCAGGTTAGTACAACCAGCTTCCACAAGAGCAACATTTTCAGTAATGTAAGCAGGGTCAAGCGGCTTCCCAGCGGTCACCGGTGGTCCGCCACCATGCATCTTGAGAGCCCGAATAGTTGCCACGATAATAGCACATTGAGGTCTCAAACCACTATAACGACATTTTATATTCATAAACTTTTCGATTCCTATATCACAGCCAAACCCTGCTTCTGTGACAACAAATCCATCCGGGCCTACTAGCTTCAAAGCAATCTTGTCAGCCACAATAGATGAGCTCCCATGAGCAATATTAGCAAATGGACCAGCATGAATAAGAACTGGGGTGCCTTCAAGAGTCTGCATCAAGGTCGGATTGATTGCATCTTTCATTAGTACAGTCAATGCACCTCCAACACCAAGATCATCGGCAGTGACAGGATCACCAGCTCTACTGTTTCCGATCACCATTTTCCCGAGCCGCTCTCTCATGTCCGATAGAGAATTGGTGAGGGCTAAAACCGCCATTATCTCACTAGCAACAGAAATGTCGAACCCCGTCTCTCTTACCATACCTTTCTCATCCGGGCCCTGACCCACGGTGATTTTCCTCAAGAAACGGTCATTTACATCCATAACCCTCCTCCAGGTGATGGTTTCGGGATCAATATCAAGCCTAGCAAATCTCATGACTTCTTCTGCGGTAAGATCCTCAGGTTTGGTCTTATTGATACCGAGCTTTTTTAAGCGTCTGTACATGATGTCACTAAAGATCCGGTTACCTTTTTTGTCTGGTGCACACAACCGACTAAAAAGGGCCTTATCTGATTGCGTTGATTCATGAAACATTCGTGTGTCAATGGCGGAGGCCAGAAGGTTGTTAGCAGCGGTTATGGCATGGATGTCGCCTGTCAAGTGTAGATTAAACTCATCCATAGGGATGACTTGACTGTAACCACCACCAGCGGCACCGCCTTTGATACCAAATGTTGGCCCTTGTGATGGTTGTCTAAGGGTTGTGACGACCTAACAACACAGATGATAAGTTTTAGCATTAAATAAACAAGAAATTATGTGTACCAACAAGTCTTCAAGAAATCTTATCAAAGGGTCATTGGTCCAGCGGTACCTGCTGGGGTTACCAACAGAGCCCAGCCACCCAGAGGTCGAGTGTCAAACCTCGCCAAAGATGAGGAGTGTGTGTGAGTATTTGCCATACATAAATATTATATACTTTGTAAAAGTCCCCAATAAATCTTACAAGGGGAACTACAAGAAAAGAGCATGACTACATATTAGCAATGATTATATTATTAATCAAATACGATACTCGCCTTCACAGTTACTCCATCTGTCCCATGAAAATTAAAAATTTCACTATAAGCATATTTTAGACTACTAAACTTTTGTCCACAATACCTTTCGGGATACAATGGGGAAATGATTCAAACGAGCTTGAAATTTTCCAATGCAAGTACACCGGGTCCTTCTATTAAATGACATTTATCATGTTTTTTTTATTAAATCCATGACCTTCCGACATGTTTGAGAATGTTACCGCTTAACAAAAGGATGCCACTTACATACACAAGAATGTCTAGAAACATGCTAAAAGGTCATGGATTTAGAAAGCACTTGTCAGGAGGTCATTTAGCTAAATAACTCAATTACACTTCACAATTGTCACTGAACATCCCAATGTATTTGAGATCTAATGGGGTTGGAACATTCAGAATTTCTATAGATCAAATGACATTTGTGTTGGAAACGGAGTCTGATTACAACCTTTATGACCCAATTTTTTTGCAAGAAAACGATTACTAGGAGATATGTTAGAAGGGCAGTATACACGACTGAATATCGTGATCAGAATTAACTAAAATTGTTACCTTTTTATCAAGAACAGCTCCCAAAGCTTGACAGAGACCAACCGTGGTGGTAGATTTGCCTTCTCCAAGAGGAGTTGGTGTAATTCCTCCAACAACAACATAGAACCCATCTTTTCTTTCTTTTAGTTCATCGATCACGGGCAACAAAACCTAAAATTTCCACATAAACAGATCATAACATCATCTCAATCCTACTACATGCAAATGCAAAATTGACACCATTGGCACTATTCTATTTGACTTCTTATAACAAAATCAACGGCCTTAACAATTTCTGGTCAAATCCAAATCAATTTCGTATCTCCAGTAACCTACACTCTCCTTCAAGTCTCTTAAATTTACTCTGTATTTGATTCTCTCTGCATTTCATTCTGTCGTGGTTTCAATATTGAGCATGGAATGCACTGCAATTGTAACCTTCAACGAATGTCCCTTTAGGATTCTCATCAATCATTACAAATCCATTTTTTCAACAGGAAAAAGAATGTAAAAATTGTGAATTTGGCGGTAACATTGAAGATTACAATGGATGTGATTGATGTACTTGCAGTTTTTAGAGGAGACTGTAAACAACCAAAAAAACACTCGTATCAACTACAGTCTTCTAACCATGACCACTTGATTCAATAATTACATACAACCCACGACAATTTTGATGCGAAAAGTAACACCCGTTTAACACAACAAGATCAAACCCTAGGCCTCGCAATTGGAGGGGATAGAACATTAATCAATTCACTTCAACATCCAAATGTCCATACATCGCATTACCATAGAAATAGGGGAAACTTTAAAAACAAACACAAACATCAAAAACAGCATACCTTAGCCTTGTATTTGCCATAGAGATCATAATGATTGGGATTAAGGTTGAGCTTTTTGGCAATGACGGAAATGTGATGAGGTTGAACGGAATTTGCAATGTCTATGTCGGTTGGAAATGGGGATATTACTTGCAATCTCATTGCATTCATCTCTTTGTTGTTTCGTGGGAATTATACGCACAATTAGCTTTGAAACTTTCTAGGGTTAATCTTGAATTTGGGTTTCAGAATATGAACATGAATGAAGGGGGTGCGTGTAGAGCATGCATTCCTCAGCCGATAACAGTGATAGTGTGCAACACTTGCATAGCAAAACGGCAACGTGTGGTGGAAAAGATTAAATTACAGTTTTGGTCCTCGTACTATGCATTATTCCATAATCTTGGTCCTTGTACTATGCATTACTCCATAATTTTTTTCTAAAACAAAATATTAAAAATCAAAAGCTCAAAATAAAAAAATACATTCAACTCCAACATCTATTTTATTTTAGTAATTATAACATTAATTATATTATCAAAATCTCAACAAAAAAAATGCATTTCAACTCCGACAACAATTTCTTTTTGGTAGTTTTGTTCAAATACATCGATAATCAATTCATTTCCAAATGTTTATAATCAAAGAGGATACGACGAATAAAAAAATAATTTCCCCTGTTTAAAATACAATGGCTAAATCTAGTCAAATTTATTGAACTCATCTTCCGACGACGAGAACGGAAACCCTCTCTGAGATGACGACGGAGACTGCTCGCCGCCGGGAGGCATATCCGAAATTGCAGCAAACATTCGGCGAATACTAACAGATCGTGCAGGTTTGAAGCTAAACGATCTCATCATCTTGCTCTTCGAGAACACATCAGAGGAATTGGAGAGGATGAGATAAACCAGAGCTTGAACGATCACGAAAATCGCACCTTTGATCAATAAATCTTCCAAGGAAAACTCAACCATTGCTGTGAATGATATCTATGAGATCTGCTTAATGTGTGAGTTGTTTGAATACAAGTGGCTGTGTGTATGTGGTTAAAAGCATTGAGGGATATTTATAGAGAGGAGAGAAACCGCCATTGAAGTCTGGATTGGAGGAAGAAGGTGGTTCGATTTGACCAGAAACGTGGTTTGGTTTGAAAAGGAAAGCGCAGGGATGTGAACAATGAGTCAATGACCAAAAAAGTCCAAGAGTTGATCAAGTGGAAGCTTTGAAACCTTATCTGAACTTTCAAACCCACGTGTAGTATTTAAAAGGGTTAAATACATGAAATAGCAACCTACTTTTATAAAAAAATTTATTATAGCATTTTATTTTTGTTTTTCTTTATTATAATAATGTACTTTCAAATTATTTTCTATTAAGGCATTGTACTTTAAAAAAATCTACCCATAATAGCAATGGGTAACTTGTTACCTTTTGAACCGGTTAACCCTTTGACTTTTTTGCTTGTGTGGCTTTAATGAGGTGATATGAATGTCACATCATCTTGATGACTTAACTAAAATTAAAATAAAAACTTATTTCAAATTATTAGTGATTTTCATTTTTCATTGTTATGATCTAAAAAAACATTTAATTTTTTTTTTACTTTTTCTTATTAAGTTGCAATCAAATTAAATATTTTTGAAGTAAAATATTTATTAAATAAATATGAAACACCATTTTCGAGATATATTTTGTTTGTAAAAAATGTAACTTTTCCTATTTTATGTTGTTCAAATAAATACATATATTTTAAAGTTCTCTTTAAAATATTAACGAAATAAATTGTTATCTACATTTTTTTAATATTGTTATATTAATAAATAATTCAAAAAAGTCTAATTAATTTAATATATTTATACGTCAAATAAAAAAGTTTTTAAACAAATATAATATATTATTTAAAAGATAACATTTTTTGGTAAAAAAATGAACAATTATTATTTTCCTTTTTCAGAAAACACATATTTTAAAAATGTTAGCGAGATAAGTTTTGTTCTACTAGTTTTATTGATATTGATATATTAATGAAGAATTTAGAATTTTGTTAATTCATTTAATACATTTATTAAATAACATGTAAAATATCTAAATATTAAAATTAAAAATACAGTGTTTAATAAGAACTAGTAGATTCTATATAAAATAATTTTGAAAATACAATGATGTAGTAAGAAAATCACATCACTATAATATATGTGGACAGCCTATGTGGACGATGAGGTGGCATGGAAACCTAGTATAATGGGTAAATTTAAAACAAAAGGTTACCTAATGCTATAATGGGTAAATTTTTCAAAGTACAATGTCCTAATAAAAAATAGTTTGAAAGTACATTGTTGTAATAAGAAAAACTGAAAGTACAATGCTATAATAAAGAAATTTATGAAAGTAGATTGCTATTTTGTGCATTTTGCCCTATTTAAAAAGATTAATTACTTTAAAAAAATTATTTTCCTTTTTATATTTTTAAAATTATGATTTTTATTTTTATAGCTTATAATTTATTATTATTTATAATTTGTTGTTATTTTCATCCATATCCATATGTTATGTATTGTTTTTCTCTTATACTTAAATATAAGTAGACAAACTACCTTTTTGAAAAATTATCCAAGCCTAAATCACCGGAATTCACGTTACATTATGTTCCTATTTCAGGATATTCCCAGCCATAATCTTCACTGGGAGATTCTCAAATGAGACTTACAAACATCAATCAGTATATATATTATAATAATCAAATTACAAAGCTTATTGAGGGAAGCCCGTGAAGCAAAATGATAAGCTTACACAAATAGAAAATATGAATGATGAAAAAGAAAGATTAGAATTTTAATTTAACACATTCACAAAATCACAAGCAAAAAAAAAACCAATATATTAATTTGTATGTATTTATTACATTTAGGGGTTGTTTGTTTACCTTTTAATAGTTTTATTAAGAGGCAAATATCTGAATCGTTAAAAGGTGAATCTTGTTTGGAAAAAAATTTGTCTCTTAATGGTTCTAAACCCCCTGAATGATTTTGTATCATGTGTCTCTCTTAATCATTTAGCGCCCTAATTTTATTGTAAACAATTACCAAATAATTATATTTTATTTTGCAGTTATATCATGAGAGTCTCTTAATCATTCTGATCACTTAATCATTCTGCACTAAACCATTCAGCAATTGCCAAACAGTCCCTTAATAATATTATTAAATCAAATATTCAATATTATGTTCAATTTGAAGATATTGATGAGACATTATAATGGTATAATTTGTAACTAAAAACCCGTATTTTTTAAATGTATTTTACTTGATATATGATTATTGGTGTTAATATGATAAGAGCGATAAATGATAAATGATAAATGAAAAAGTAAGGGATATAAATTAAACAAAATCACTAATTATAAAAATATAAAATGTAATTTTAAAATTGAAAATGATTTGATGACACATGGCAGCAAACATGACAGGTTGGTAGTGCGCTATAATGCAAAATACTTGATTTAAAGAGTTGAAATCTAATATTAAGATTAAATTTAGTATTAGGTTGATTTACACGGTTAAAATTTACACCGTAAAATACTTAATTTGAATGTTGAAATTTAGTATTAGGTTTGATTTACACGGTTAAGATTTAAATGACGGTTTTTCAACTTATCATGGTCAATATTATATATAATTAGAAGGGTACCCGTGCAATGCATCGAGACACATTTTCATTTCAATATTTCGTTTTATTTTTTATCCATGTCGATATAATACGATTTTATGTGATTTTGAGAAAGCGATAATGTTTTTATTTTTGAATAAAATATAAATTTGAAAATATCATATAATTTGAAAATATCAATATTAGTATCAAATTATCTAACGTAACAAAGTAACTTAATTTAGGTTAAATAATTTTTTTTATAAAGATAATAATTAAATATTCTGTTAGAACTCAATAATTATCCTAATTATATTTTATATTTTTTATATTTTAAAATGAGATGTTTATCCTCTATTTGATTATGTTTATCCACAGTTAGTTACACGAATTCAAACATAAAATTTTAATAAGTTGTACTTATGCACATTTTACTTGTAATCTTGAATTTTAAGTAATATGCATTAATAAACAATATTTTATACATTAAAAAATGTTTTTAAGAGTTTTTGTCAAATGCTTATAATATAGTATAGATTAGCACATATCATAATTTTTTTTAATTTATATTACCTTCTCTCTCTATTTACGTGTATTTATGTAATTGGAGAACGTGTATGACAAAATGAAATTTGGAACAAGTGATCTTTATCCTGAACAGACACCCGAAACTCCCATTAAGAGAAAAATAGAACCTACCACCGTGAACAAAATAAATTTTGTAGATGAATACAGACTTTTCTTTCCTCCCCACATAGAATTTTCATGTTTAAACTAAAATAGCCAAGATTTTGCAAGTGTCTGTTTTACAACTTGTGAAATATACTTTTTACGAATGAAATATTATTCTTATGGGTCATCTCCCAATCCAAAAAAATGTTTCGCAAGTTGATCCCACCAGGTAAGCGTTTAATAAACAGTTCCTGATTTCATAATAATATAATACAAATTAAATATTGTTTAACTTATATTTTTTTATGGATTCTTTACATTTCTTCTAGAATTTTGATTTTGAATTGTAATTGCTACCACCGTCACCGACGTTGTTTCTAGATTTGTGAATTTGTGACGTATCACTCCCTCGATTTTTAATATTTATACTTTGTAGACTTAATTATATATATTTCTTTGTTATAAATTATTGTTTTCTATAAATACACATTAATATATTTTTGTTTTTATTTATACTTTGTAGACTTAATTAGAGTATCGTGATGACTTATTTTTGTTTTTATTTAATCATTATGAGTCAGTTTGCACACACATCGACTAATCTCACGTGTCCTAAAGAACAACTATAAAAATTTCTAGTGGCGTTGCAAGATTTTTAAACCTGTGATTTCTTAAGAGAATGTCCAACAACCAAAATCTTATTATCAGTTGAATCAACCCCATAAGATTTTTGTACCCGGTCCAAGTCTAACAAAAGTAAATTATCACAACACAATATTAAAGGACATACGCCATTACATAAGATAAAATAACTTATACATTATTACTTCATATATGATTTTTAAATATTCATAATTTTTCGAACAACATAAAAGATGATAATTTTAAGTTCAAACATCAAAATATTATATTTCCTAACATATTTTATTATAACTAGTTATAAAATTTTGATTATTTATTGGATGGATAAATGTTTCTTTTATTAACCTAGATATCCAAACAGCTATGCGAGCCGACTAATCTCATGGCGACCACATGCTTTGTAGATAGTCCGGAGTCACCACATTTGAACCTTTGTGGCCACAAAAAGATTTTTATTCCTCTTTAAATGTTTTTTTGTTTTCTCCTTCAAATAAGTCAAAATCATATTAAGTAAAATATATGAATAAAATGTTTGTATAAATTAAGATAAATTAATGTTTGTTTTGTACTGAACAGATTGTGATTTTAGTCTCAAGTCTCAACTAGAAAACAATGAGCCCATTGAGAATTAACCTTGTGTTTCTAGAGGAGCAAAATATGAAGAAGAAAAAAATCTTCTTGTTAATGGAATAGGATTTTACCTAGTGACCAACCCATTAAGTCATGGTTTGTATGAATAAACAAAAAACAAACTATAAAGTAAAGACCATTAAGTAAAAAAAACAAAGATATTCTAAGGCGTAATTTAACACGTTTTTTATAAATTAACAAATTAAGTTTATTAACTACAGCAAGTTGAAATCAAATGTCACTTGACTCTGAAAAATAGAAATCACAAATACTCAATAAGGATCATTGTTAGGCTGGAGAATTCTCTAGTTTCGAAACCAGGGACGAAGGTAGAGATGGAGATACTCTCGGTCTCGGAACTTGGACCTGAGTCTGATCTATAATAATGAGCAAGTGTGCAAGCTTTGAGGTACATGTTATGTTGAATTTTTCATTCACTCGATCCTTTGCCTCTACCTTTCAACACGTATCTGCATCTAGTGCAGTGATTAAAAGTATCAACATCTTAGTGTTAAATTTTACAAAATACGTATTTTATTGATAGATAAGTAGCTTTGAAGATTAGATTTGAACGAGCTATAGATATCCCAAAACCATTATGTGTAATCCCATCTTTGAATACATCTGAATCAATCGTTAAGACAAAGAAAATTCTCCATTTTTCGTTTGAAATCCCCGATTTTCATTAAAAATAAAATGAAACAAGTACTATTTTTTTTAAATCTCCATTATTTGTTAAAAACAGACATGGAAAAAAGGAATCGGGTATCTGATACTAGGCATGGCAACAGGACGGGGATGAGGCGGGTTTTGTAATCTCCAGCCCCGGCCTCGGTCCCCAACATGTACGGGGATTAACATCATGTCCCCGGTCGATCCCCAGTCAAACACCATGAATAATATTCATTAGTTTGATTTTATCGGGGATCCCGACCCCGGTTTGAATAACGTCCCCGTCCCCAGTTTAAGTCTACCAAGGATCCCGACCCCGGGACCTGTCTTAGAGGGGATTCCCCATCCCCGTTCGGATCGGATGAACGGTTCCCACCGGTTCAGATGCAAATCGCCATCCCTAACTGATACGGCCCATTTCCATCTCTAGAACCACGTCCCAACATCCCTTAATCAAGCTTTGGTGATGCAAATGATGGGAGATGGTTGTCTACTATAAAAGGCATAATTTTCCCGCCATTACTCCCCAAAACTTCATTTCCCCCAATTTTGCCCGAAAGATTACCAAGAAATCCAGGGTTTCCCTTCGAGCTTGTTGGTTTTCCTTATCCAATTTAGGGTTTGTGGAATTGCTTCTTACCGCGGGAAAATGCCGCCGTTATGCTGGAGGCACCATACGCTAATTCAAGCTCTGCTATCTCGTGGTCCACTCAAGGAAAAGGAGTTTCAGTCCATCTTCTCCGATGTCACCGGCAAAAGTGTAGGTTCGTACTCTGATTTCCTTTATATATCTTTTCTTTCTCCTCAAGTTTAGAAGATCTTCCATCTAAAATTTACTCTTACGCTTGCTTGCGTGTATGGGTCATTTTTTCTGTTCATATAGTCAATCTGTTGGTGTGAAATAAAACAGAATTCCCAAGTTTCTACTGCATACGAGATCTAACTGTAAGAAATGACTACCTTCCGTAGACGCCGTATATTGGATGATTGAAAATCCTATGTGGCAGAAACCAATACCAGACTTAACGCCTTTGAATGCGAAATGTTATTTGTTTCAACTTTGAAATCATTGCTGCCTTTGAACGTCTCTAGAACAGATTGTCGAAATCATAGGAGAAGGGAGAGGGTTGACGCTAAAAATCAAAACGCGTCTCTTTTGCTTACAACTGGAGTTATAGCTATCCCACCCTTTTTAGATTTCAGAACTGTATAGAATATGATACACTAAAATAAAAGACTATGAGTTCTCCAACTAAACCCATAATACTTTCAGTTTGGGACTTTTAAGCATTGAGGGAGTCCGATGATTATTGGTTAGTAATGTATGCTTGATCTTGGTTTCTAGTTTAGTGTTAGAAACTAGCTCTTTTATAAAATAGAACCAGTAAAATATACTCCCTCCAGTTCAAAACACACATGCATCTTAGCTTTCTCAAATGAAACGAGGTACTTTTCAAAATTTCAGTTGCTGTAAACATCAAACTTTCTGTAAGAAATTGATAATTTGATTAGATTTTGTAACAAACAATTATAAGCTGTTGATAAATTGGTATCAAGATTTATGTCAAATTCCCTTTTCGTAAGTTTGTTGGGAATTAATATGTGTTGAATCATTACGAATTTGATAATCCAACAGGAAGAAAGATTTTCGAATTCTGTAAACAGCTTATTTGGTTTATAATAAAATTTGAAGCTACAAATCATATCCCTATTGCCCAAATAAGTGACTTGTTTATTGGCTGTCAATTTTTTTTCCATTTCTTGTAGTTTCATCCCATGTCAGTTGCAGACTTGCAGTTCATTTTCGGGACTTGAGAGTAATATCATTTACAATAACTGTATTTAAATTAGTGACCTACTTTATGTTGACGAAGCTCATCTAGTATGCTTTCTATATGATTTAACCAGAAAAATGTTTTTTTTTGTATTTTTTGCTTCGTTTTTTGTTCTTGGAGTTGTTGTGGGCATTGGATTGTAAATCATCTGCTATATATAAAAGACACTGTCATCTTCCTTTCAGATCATCGACAGTTATTTAATGAGTATCTGCGGAAGATAAACATGGAGCTGTCTTATGTTCAATTTGAGTTACGGGCATGCAGAAACCAGTATGATGGTGGTGTGTATTATGGAGTGATAAACAACGTTGCAGATGAGCAGTCCAAGCTTGGAACAAGATATACTGTACCTCAAATTGCTTTTTACAAGGGGATTGTAAGTTTCTATGCATTTTTTAATCGACCAATTCCGCATTGTTGAATCTCAGTCATACTGGAGCTTGAAGTATAGATTCAACTAAAAATATGGCAAGGAAAATAAAATTCAAATGCTATCCTCTTATGTAAATTTGACCCTAAAAAGCAAAAAGAAGAAAAGAAGTCTATAAGCTTAATAAATGTCCTGACATATAATCAGGAAACAAGTTTCTTGAAGTGGCAGAAGAGGAATGCCTTGTATGGTTGTGTCTGAATGTCTAATTAGAGCACCAGTATATTTTATTTCCAAAACCAGTCAACTGAAAGAGGCATGCAAAGTGCAGTCACTAACTACAACTAATATAATGGGATGGGTAGGACTGGGGATGGAGCAAGTTTTCCTCTCTATTTGACATTGGCAAGCCGTGGAAGATTTACTAGGTCCAGATTTTTGCTTTGTGGTTGAAATATTGAGGTAGATTTCAAGTTTTTTAATATATTGTGTCGGGCTTAAGGTTTTGGTCATCAAATAGTAAGCAAGGAAGGGGTTTGAATCACTTGCCAAGAACCTCCTTGGATCTATTAGACTAAAGTGCAATAAAAATTTCTATCATGAAAAGGCTATTATCGTCTGGAAGTCATGCAAGAGCCCCATCAGCTAGGGGTGCGTTTGGTTTGCGGGATTGGAATGGAATTGGGGGGATTTGGATTTGAAATCCATTCCAATCCTGTGTTTGGTTTGCCAAATTGTCAGGATTTGAAATCCTGGGATTTCATTAAAATCCATTACACGCGGGATTTGGAAATCCTTTGCAAATGGGCAGGATTTGAAATCCATCGCTTCCTGTCGAGTGCAAATCAGTCATCCCTCCCATGGCTTCCCGCTTCCTGTCGAGTGCTCCCATAGCTTTTCCTCCCATGGCTTCCTGCTTCCCGCTTCCTGTCGAGTGCTCCCATGGCTTCCCGCTTCCTGTCGAGTGCTCCCATGGCTTCCCGCTTCCTGTCGAGTGCTCCCATGGCTTCCCGCTAATCAGTCCTCCTCGTCGGTGCTCCCTTCCCGTCCCCTTGCGAAGCAGTGCCCTAATCGGGTCAACCATCCTTTTGCTTCAAGTCTTCAACTGTCGTCTCTGCCTCCACTTCCTTACCACGCAAACATCTCTGTCGGATTTCCACATCGACGATGACTCATATCCTTTCTAGGGTTTTTCTGGGTTTCGTTTTTATTTTTTCCATGTTCATTGATTGTGGTCTCGATCTGATGCAATTTGTGCATCAAATTGAAGTCCAAATCATTTTTATGTTCTAAATTCGTACTCGCATATGTTTGGATTTTTGGGTTAATGGATTTTTGGGTTCATCTCTGTTGCTTGCCAAATCCTGCAAACCAAACAAAGGAATGGATTTTAAATCCAATCCAATCCAAATCTCATGGAATCCAAATCCTTCCTACAAATCCAAATCCCTCAGAAACATTCTTGCAAACCAAACGCACCCTAGGAGTATTTCACTTGTAAAACTTCTATCTTCACTTTGGTCATCTTATCCGATCAAGGTCATGTCAAGAGGAAAATCTGCAAAACTTGAGGAACCAATTTTTTTTTAATTTTTCTTTCAAACTGTTTATTTTATTTTGTACAATTTGAGAAATAAAATTTGTGATTCTTGTATTATCAACTAAATCAATCTATGTGTTGTTTGTTTTCTCAATTTGTCCATTGTTGTCTCCTTGACCCCCTCTCTTACAACAAGAAAAATTGTAGGTGGTAAAACGGCTTTCTAGTTCTACCCGAGTATTTTTTGTTATTATCATAAAATTTAAAATGAATCATACATCTCTAGTTTCTGAGGTGTTGAACTCTAATATATTTCCTTTTTTCGCAACACAATTGGTTATGGATAATTCCAAGGTATTAGAATAACAACTGTATCCATACCATTATAAAGGTTGTGGGTAAAAATATGCATGTAAAACTAGTCTGCATTTAGAGTTCTTGGATGGTTTTAAGAATGTACTGAACTAATGATGCTTGGATGTACTGACTGATTTGAAACAGATTGAAGCGATAGTCCAAGATGCCACAGCTCAGGGTACCATTTCTAATATTGCCGCTCTTAATGTTCGGCTAGAAAACCAGGTTTGTTTGTTTGTTTCTACCATCTGCAAGCAAAATTCTGATAGCAACGAAATCTGCATTGGGACATTGGGTAGCTTTTCTCTTTGCAAAATGAATAAGAAAGGCTCATTAGAGATTTCAATTTCTAATCCTTTCAAAGCTGAGGAGCCTTATTGCAATGTAATCAACCTTTTATCCTCTCCCCTGATGTTTGCCCTTTTCAGAAGGATATTGCCATATGCCCTTCCCTTTGAACTAACTGAGAAAGAAGTTTTTTTTTTGAAGTATATAATATTTATACAAGGCAAATGCAACAAATAAACTCACACACCCTCCTCACCTTTGGTGAGGTTTGAACCCTTGACCTCCTAGGAAGCCAAGGGCTACGATACCGCTAGGCCGAAGGCCCTTTGGTAACTGAGAAAGAAGTTCATGGGTTATGAGAACAGATATTCAGTAAACTAGAACAGACAAGCTGTGCATTCACTTGGGCTTGTGGGAATTTTAGGTGGTTACTGATATAGACTATAGAGCATGGTAGTCTAGATAGATACATAAGGAGATTAAACGAGCATCTCATACTCAAAAAGGTGCCTTACATGGGTCTTTTATAGGATGCTTGGATTTTGACCAAGTTATAATAGAAGCAGACCTAAATTCCGAACTGACTTCAATTATCACAATTGCAGGGTGCTTCAACTCAAGTCCCTACAGCATTCAGGAATTTTTCAATGTCTCAAAAAGAGAAATCTTTACAAGAATTTGTTCAGGATCAATGGTTGTGTACCACACCTGATGGTAAAATCGGACTTGGTGTTAGATCATTCCTGGATCTTAGGAGTTGGTTTCATAACAATGAAGTTCCTACATGTGATGTCTGCAATGAAGCTGGAATTAAGGTTCGTTATCTGCATTTATTTTTTCTAATTGCTCTATTAATCGAGATTCTCCATTCGTCTAACCTTCTTTTAGACACACCATTGATTGTCTGAAGTTTGTTGATTGCATAAAAGTTTGTTGTACCTCAACTTGAGATCATATTTTCTTGAAAAGTAGTATGGTATAGTTTGCTAAAATTTTGCTGAGAAGAAAAGGACAGGAACAAAAACATTTATTTAACTGACAAAACATCCTTATGCTGCTTAAACTTCAAAACCTCACTTAATTGCAGATTCTTGACTCTATTTGACTGAACTTTTGACCTAATTTTTACTAATATAACTCTTTGATTGGACTACAGTAAAACACATATTAGTGGACCCATTGATGAAAATCATGAGGAACTTCAGTAACACTAATCAACAAATCATTAGATTTTCTCAAATAGCAATCCTTGAGCTTCTCACTTGCCCCATCATCCATACAACTTTTAAACCCTCCCTTGGTTATCTGCATCATATAGGATATAAATTATCGAGCAATCTTTTTGCTAAGATTTTCTGTAGGTGCTTGTCATTTTTGCTGTTATCATGCTGCAATAGTATTATTATTTCTCTATTGGTCCCATTTCATGTAAAAATCGTTACTTGTCATATTGTGAAAATCTTGATATACTGGGTTTGCGTGGAGGTCAGGTCTGCCTACATCTCATCCTCCCTAGACCCCACCTTTGGGTGGGATATACCGAGTTTGGTATTGTAAAAATCTTGATGTAAAAGCTCTCTTTCATGCTTTGTGAATTTAAGACTGCTTGTATTGTATCTGATGCATTTCTTGATGTTTATAATTACCAGGCAGACTTGTGCCCTAACGAAAGTTGTACTGTTCGTATTCATGATTACTGTCTAAAGGCGAAATTCTCTCAAAGCAGGGTATCTTCTTTTTCTTTTTTCCAAAATTTTGATTATGTAATATATTAGCAGGCATTCATTGTTATTGATATTATTGGTAAATACAGATAGATAAAGTGTGCCCTGGTTGTGGTACACAATGGCCTTTCATGGTGGCAAAAGCAGAAGCCGTTGAAGAAGAGGATGCAGATGTCCATCAGCCTCCTCTCGTGCGAAAAAGGCTAAGAAGTTCCAGAATAGTTGAAGAAGATGAGAGTCAACCACCTTCTGAGCCGTTGGGTAGAAGGAATCTTAGAAGCTCGAGAGATGGTCAAGAGGACGAGTCCAACGGTCCATCTCAGGTTCAACCATCCTCTGGTCCCTCCAATAGAAGGGCTAGAAAGATTGAAGATGAAGAGTCTATTGGTCAGCGTAGAAAGAAGGTTCAAACATCTAATGATGGGTCTGGTCCATCTCAAGAAACCAGGAGATCAACCAGAACTTCTTCACGGTTACACCGTTGATAAATTTGTAAACAAAATGTTGTCTTTTGTTAGATGGGATTTTGTGAATATTGTGTATCCAACTATTTTGACCCATGAAAACCTATGGGTGCGATCCCATGTCCCTCTGCTAGTCTCAACCGTTGACTGAGCTAAAAAATGGTCTTTCACATTGGTGTTCTTAAAGACGGTTTTCGTATAATACCAATTAGAATTGTCGGTAATCAACTTTTTGCTCAGATATATTATATATCATGAATCATGTCATCATTTTGTAAACGATTTTGGTGTATGATTAGGATTCAAAAATTAATTGAAAATTTAGTAATCCCATTTGATTGAGCTTGGTGTCAATCATTGAGACGTGATGTCTCATCAAATGCATATCTCAAGCTCAATTTTTACATGCAAGTCAATTCTACTTGAGTCAGAGGTGATTATTTAAGTACATATAATTATTTTTTATAAGATTTAAAAGGGAAAATTAATTAAAATAATTATTTAATTGATTTTGATTCATCTCTTAAATCATTTGTTTCTTGATATTTTTAAAATATCATTAGATTCGTAAGTGACATTCTTTATTTGCAGAAGGATCAAAGTGTAAAAAAATAAGTTTCTGAACCACGTCTGCAAGTGAAGGATCAAATCTGCAAATTAGTAGCAAGTGAACCTTTATCTAATTTACAGATTTGGTCTTTACGCTTATTGAACTGGTTCAACAATTTTTTTTATATATTTTGATCTATTCGCAAATTGAAGAGGTGTCATTTGCAGACCTAGATATATTTTTTAAATTTGGGAGAAAAATGACTAAAACATGGATCCAAAGCTTGAAAATGACTATTTCTATTAATTTTTGTTTAAAAAAAAAATCATATTTGAAAGAATAATTATTTGCAATTTACTGAATACTAAAAATGTATCCTCTAAAGGAGTGTAATTCAATCTCAACTATAAAGTTGAGAATTTAAACTCTCAATCCTATTCATGTTTTTGTCACTTGTCCCTCTTATTCTCATGGTTTCATGTCTTAGAAAAGTAAAAAAAGATAAGGTTAAGTACAAGGAGGTCTCAAGTTCAAATCCAATGAGAAATAAAAATTCCCTTGTGGCCACGGAGGTTCAAATGCGTTGACTCCGGGCTATCTGCAAATCTGGTGGTCGTCTTGAGATTAATCGGCTCGTATAATGGGTTGGATATCCAGGTTAATAAAAAAAAAGATCATATTAAATTTCTTTTTATAGTTTTGTACATATGTTATAATAACTTTATTTTTAAGATATTCATAATGTGTATGATATTAATATGGAGAGATGCAATTTGAAATATACATGAATATTTATAATGAATTTATACATCAATTTACAGCATATCAACTTATGTACAAACCGGTTAAAAACAAGAAAAAGTATATATCAATACGGGTACGAAATTGAATGTAATAAATGATTGTTTTTTAATAAAATTTATTTAATTAAATTATTATTAATTTATATTTAATGTTCTGATAGTTGTATTCTTGAAAAGTCTGAAGTTTCTAAAAACATAATTTAAATGCTATATAATACAGTATAAATATTTAAACATAAGATTTGAAAATAATGACTTTTAATTTATCATTAAAAAATTCATATTCATTTAAACAAATCTAATAAGGTACAATTCAATCTTATGCATAAAATTTTGTTTGCAACATATTTTGTTTCATATAAACATTTTTTTTCAAAAAAAAAAAAAAAAAAAAAAAAAAAAACGTATTCAAATGGGTATATTTTATTTCCTTGACGTATGTTTGTTTTACTAAACAATCGACACGTCAAAATAAAAATTTGCATATTGTATTTATGTTCAATCTACATTCACTATAACCTCAAGTATCCGTCAATTCATTTAAGTTTCATTATTGCAAACGTATTTTTCAAACAAGATATTTAACACGTTAGCTACAATACTATATATATATAGACACAACATCTAGTATCCGTTATTTACTCGAATAATATATTATACACATATGTGTGTGTATATATATATGTATACACATGTAAATACACGTCTTATTTCATTTATCTATCTGTATACAGGGACGGGCTCAAATTTTTTTTTTTCAAATGGTGGCACTATTTGACTGTAAGAAAAAAATATAGTGAATTTTTTTTCAAACGATGACATCGTTTGACTATAAGAAACAAATATACGATTTTTTTCCCACACGGTGACACTATTTGACTAAGAAAATGACACTAACAAGATTCGAACTTGGGTCTGGTCTGGGTGAAATAAAGGCTTTGTAAACCAACTCTACTAAATAAAACTTGTTCTCATTGTAGTTTTAAAATACATAACGGTGGCACACGACAAATTAATACTTGTGCACTTTTCACGAACCTGAATTTTTTCACCTTTCGACGAAGGAATAATACGATGACACGTGTCACTATATGCACCACGGTTCGTCCGTGTCCGTATATTATACAGTACCTTATAAATAAAGATATGATAAACGCAATAATTGAAATGTCGTTGTAACTGGTTACAAGCCAACACTTGGACACTCTGTAAACAAGAAAATGACAACACAAAACAAGCAAGGAATTTGGGAATTCCGCAAATCCCCTTAGCTGTATATATACGCCCTACGCCCCTTCTATCATTGAGCCCCCCAATTTTTATAGGATTCTACTGTTCCATCCGGGGAACTGATTGATTTGGGGGACTTCAAGATTAACCCAAATCTTTGACTTTCTGGGTAATCAACAATTTCTATTTTTAATACCGACTCCGGCTTCAACACGTCCATCTACTCCGGCTTTCAAACTTTAGCTCACCACAACGCACCGTCGTGGCTCATTTACATCAAATTTCACCCAATTATTGATGGGTTGATTGATTTTACTCGATTTCTCATCTGGGGTTTGCAGTTCTCCGTCAGTTCTTGCCTATTTTTCTCCCAATTTCTTTCTTGTTGTAGTTATTTTCTTGATTGAAAGCGAGCTTATATCTGGGCGTGTTTTAATTCTTGGAATTTGAGTAGGGTGTGATGATTTAGATGGAAAAGTAAGGGTTTGCTGATGGTTTTAACTCTCATAGTTAGCTTGTGTGTTTCCAGTTTTGTAGATGGATCAGCTCTCATAGTTTAAACTTTCTGCAATCAATGATCATGTTGTTGCGAATCACATATCTCGTTTTTCTGTTGATTAGGTTGCGTAAATATGCTAAGATTTGTGTCTGATAGCTAAACCTAGGTATTTGACAACAATTTGGGCATCTTTTCTGTGTTCTGTAATTGGCTTTTCGTTTCAAATGGACCGTTTTTCTTGCAAATATGCAAAAACGGAACACTGGGTTTTGCAAGATGAGCAACTGTGGACGAAATACAGCTGTTTATTTGCAGTTATATTTCTTGAATTTTGGTCTGAAATCGCCCATTTTGCAAATCAAGAAAGACTATTGGTTTGCAATGAAAAACTGAATATTATAGGGTTTTCATTTTGTTCATTGGTGCCTATAGTTTTGAGCTACTTGGTTAATAATTGTAAACAATCCATGCTTCTTGTGAAATGCCAAAAATTAGAAGAAAAGAACACTGTATAAATGTGGAAACTGGATAGAATAATTTTGGTTTGGTTATGGTTGGCAGGATCCAAGGGCAACAGAAGGTGAAACTATAGAATATGGGTCCTGGAGGTAATATTTATCAGGATGTTACTGAATCTCGTGGTGATTATGGTGTTAAATCTTCGAACATGGAAGGACGGAGTTGCCTGAGATTATGTGTATCGGGTGGTGGAAGGCAGGGAATGGCGTCAAATAGTGCGGTTCACGAGCTACTCGAGTGTCCTGTATGCCTAAGCATAATGCACCCTCCTATTCATCAAGTATGTTCTCTTTTAACCTTCACTATCAACCTTTTAGCCTTGTTGCTATTAGACTACTTTTATCGCCGATAAAAAACGCATAATTTCTCTTCTTTTGTTGGGAAAAGTTTAATTTTGCCTTGTCTTGTGGTGACATGAACCTAGTGGATATTTATAGCAATATGTGGAACCGGGGAAGGTTCATTTAAATATTGTAGGAATCCCGGAAGCACCCTTTTGTGAGTATTCATTATGAATATCTGTCACCACATTTATCACGTAATTCATCATGAATACTCACAAAAAGGGCGGTTCATGGGTTCCTGAAATATTTAAGGTTCCTAAATGAACCTCCTTCATGTGGAACCCCTTTGATTCTTTCTCTAAAAGAGCCTTATAAAGAAGGCTCTTTAAGGGTAGGTTCCAACATATATAGATGTTAGATGGAATGTGTCTACCTGATGTGGGACTCCAACACATCTCTTCAAATAGAGGCTAGACACACCCTTGAGTGGAGGCTCGATTGAGCGTGTTTGGACCCCTGGAGGCGCTAGACATTTTCTCTGATACCATGTTAGAATATGTGGGACCCCTTTGATCCTCTCTTAAAAAGCCATTATAGAGAGGCGGAGGTTCCAACATATATAGAGGTCATATGGCCCGTGTCTAGCCGATGGGGCCCAACTTTCCAATTATATATAGTAGATGGATTATAGATGATGTATAAAGTGATGGTATCAAATTCACTAATATATTTGTTATTACTCTGTGAAGTGTCCAAATGGCCACACGATATGTGTTGTTTGTAAATCTAAAGTGCAAAATAGCTGCCCGATATGCCGCCAAGAGCTTGGGAACATACGGTGTTTGGCGTTGGAGAAAGTTGCAGAGTCGATAGAATTGCCATGCAAGTACCATTATTTGGGGTGCCAAGATATTTTCCCATATCATACTAGGATAAGACATGAGGAGAATTGCAAATATCGTGGCTATAATTGCCCTTATGCAGGCACAGAATGCTACGTCAAGGGTGATATCCCGTTCCTGGTTGCACATCTCAAGGCTGATCACAATGTTGACATGCACGATGGCTCCACTTTCAACCACCGATACGTCAAACCCAATCCTCACGAAATTGAAAACGCTACATGGATGTTGACAGTAATCTCTCTCTCTCTCTCTCCCTCTAGAGATGTAGTGTTTATAAACTCTAGGGGCAGGTTTGAATGAGAACCATAAATATTTTGAAAACCTGAGAACCGACTATTCATGAATTATTCATGACGGATATCGTGATAGATATTCATGATGAATATCATGAATAATGAAAATCATCATGATGAAGAATTTTCATGAATATTTTAGGGTTATTCATCGTGAATAACTTATGAAATAGTTGGTTCCTAGGTACATCTATGGTTCTCATCTGAACTTTCCCCATAAACTTCTAATACTCGAACATATAAACTGTAATCATGAACTGATAAACAATCTTTTACACAAAATGATTAGAAAAATCATTACATAATTGACAATTCCCCCTAGTTCTTGTTGGGTTAGATGATTGAGTTTTGATTAGAAAAAACACAGAATTGCAGTGTGTTTAAAGATAAAAGTTCTGATTTTGTGTTGTTTGGGTGTAGATTTTCAACTGTTTCGGGTATCAATTCTGTTTGCATTTCGAGGCGTTTCATCTGGGTATGGCACCTGTTTACATGGCGTTCTTGCGTTTCATGGGGGATGAAAATGAGGCAAGCAAATTCAGCTACAGCCTTGAGGTGGGAGGGAATGGGAGAAAGCTAAAATGGCAAGGGGTGCCGAGGAGCATTCGTGATGGTCACAAGACGGTTAGAGATAGTCTAGACGGATTGATCATAACCAGAAATATAGCATTGTTCTTTTCCGGCAGTGATAGGCAGGAGCTGAAGCTGAAAGTGGCCGGCCGGATATGGAGAGAACAGTCTTGATTGATTCTTGAGTTAAACACCACCACCACCACCACCACCGTACACAGCCATGGCCATGTTTTTTTGGTTTTCCTCTTTTTGTGAAATAGCAAAAGAAAGAAGGGTGGTCTGAGAGAGTTTATACATGTCTCTCTCTGTGTTTGTAAAGGTTTAGATTCAGGTTTGCAGGCTTAGTTAGTACCTGTCAACATTTTTGCTTTCTGGAGTTTAAAGCAAGAGCTAACTTTGTTCCATACTATATAAATGTAGTGTATATATATATTATATATATATGCTTTCTTTTTTGTTTCATTTTCTATTTAGTTTTGCCAAATCACTTTCAAAATATCATATTCTTTTGGGCATTGTGTTACGAAATTGGTTTCGGGTCTGGTTTGGAACGGGTTATAGACTGTTAGGCCGTCAGGCCCTTTTTGGTCCAACTTTTGAACATGCTAAACATCGTTATGTCCAAAACTGGATGTCACTTATCTTAACGGATGAGTATAATACTAACGAAGAATCTAACCAGGTAATATGAATAGGAAGGGCGAAATCTTATCTGGTAAGTGAAGGTGAAGACTTGTCCTGTAAGGATTTATCGGATAAAAAACGGTTACCTACAACCAATTTTGATGATCGATCAATGTAATTTAAAAAATAACAAAAGTAATTATTAAAGTTTAACACTTAGCAGCATGCCAAAAAAGTTAACGTCGTCGTTTGTCTTTAACAAAAAGATTGTAAGGTACTTCTGTTTTCTGTTAAGTTGGGGGGATCATTATTGGATTATTGTCAATCTCAAAGGATCTGAGTGAAATTATACAGTAGTAATATTATTGCTCGCTGAAACCAAACCCTAACTACCAAAACCTCCATGGAAGCAGAGCTGTGAAACACAAAAATGATATTCAGAAAATTACGTCCATCAAAGCTCAAGAATCTCCTTCCTCTCTCCCATTTCACTACCTACACGTACAAAAAACCTGTATCTAACTCCAATTTCACTACCATCATAAATCCCCACAAAATATCGAGTCTTTTAAACCCTACTAAAACCCTAGCAACCCAAAACCCCCTTTTCAGATCCTTTTCTTCAAATCACACATTGGTTCCACCTCTTCCCATCACCAGAGATGGAAATTACGATGAATCAACCTCCGAAACCCTTAGAATTTGCCCTGGATGTGGAATCCCAATGCAAGATTCCGATCCTAAACAACCTGGCTTTTTCATCACACCCTCCATCAAAGGTTCAAATTACAAATTACCCATTGATAAAAACCCATTAGCAGAGGAAACCCACATTCCAGAGTCTCTTAAAAAGGGCTTTTTGGTTGAATCTGACGAAGACCCTAAAAATCCTAGCCCTAAATCGCCCAAAAGGCCGGTTGTTTGTGCGAGGTGCCACAGCTTGAGGAATTACGGAAGGGTCAGGGATCAAACCGTCGAAAACTTGTTGCCTGATTTCGATTTTGATCATACTGTTGGAAAAAGGTTGAATCAGGTTTCAGGTACAAGAACCGTTGTAATTGTGGTTGTAGATGCTGTAGATTTTGATGGTTCATTTCCTAAAAAAGTTGCAGAATCAATTTCGAATACAATAGATGTTCATTCTAGAGCTTGGAAAGAAGGGAAGTCAGGGAATTTGCCTAGATTGGTGTTAGTCGTTACAAAGATCGATTTATTGCCTACATCATTGTCACCAACCGGTTTCGAACACTGGGTTAGGACCAGGGCCAGAGAAGGAGGAGCCAACAAATTGACCAAAGTTCATTTGGTGAGTGCCGTCAAAGACTGGGGATTGAAGGATCTTGCAGATGATATGGTGTCGTTGGCTGGACCAAGAGGGCATGTTTGGGTCATAGGGGCGCAAAATGCAGGCAAATCGACGCTGATTAATGCAATGGGAAAGTCTGTAGGAGGGAAAATGAGTGTTTTGACTGAGGCTCCTGTCCCTGGGACTACATTGGGGATCGTTAGGGTGGAGGGCGTGCTTACTGGCCAAGCAAAGTTGTTCGATACACCAGGGTTACTGCACCCACATCAGATTACCACACGCTTGACTGCAGAAGAACGGAAATTGGTTCAGATCAGCAAGGAATTGAAACCGCGGACCTATAGGATCAAAGTGAGTACCTTTGCTTAAAAACAGATGTCTTTGGTTCTTGCATTAGTTGTAGATATACCAGCAAAGACAAGTTCGGGGGAAAACCAAAAAAAATGGAAAACTAAGGAACATCTAGTAACCATTCACATTCACATTCATATTCACATGCTAATACTAGGCAAATTACTTTTATGCATATGTGCATATTGTGCAGATGAGTGGTTATTACTTATCAAGGCATTTCTTAGTTTTTCATTTTTTTGGTTTTCCTCCGGACCTGTTGGATATTAGACTTTTTGACCACGATCGGGATTCATAGCATCAATAGCAACTGGATTATGCGAATCTTGTGTAGAAATTTTTTCGAATTTTATAAAGTTATAAGAGGTGTGTTCTTGATCAGGCTGGGCATTCTGTTCATATCGGTGGCCTCATGAGGCTCGACATCGAAGAATCATCAGTGGATTCGTTATATGTTACCGTGTGGGCGTCTCCTCATCTTCCATTGCATATGGGCAAAACAGAGAAGGCATCAACAATGGTGGAAGATCATTTTGGTCATCAATTGCAGGTACACTCATTCTATCTTTACTCTGATAGACTTTTGTATTCTTGATAACTTTGATGTCGATTTCCATTTTTACCCTTTTGGCTCAGCCACCGATCGGGAAGCATCGAGTGGAGGAGCTTGGAAGATGGGTAAGGAAGGAATTTCGTGTGACTGGGAACTGGTGGGACTCGAGTTGTGTCGACATTGCTGCTGCTGGTCTTGGTTGGTTCGCCATCGGACTAAAAGGAGAGGCTGTGGTTGGTGTTTGGACATATGATGGCATTGATGTCACCCTTCGCAAAGCTTTGATCCCTCACCGATCACACAATTTTGAAGTCACGGGGTTCACCGTCTCGAAAATTGTGTCGAAAGCGGATAAATCTCTGAACAAGCAACGCCATAATGAGAAGAAGAAAGTTGATGTTCCAGAAACAGAAGCCACAACTGCTGCATTATGAGTTATTACAACTTGACTCCATCTTCCAAAGGATCATTAAGCCATTTCTTGACAATTTCAAGCAAACATGTAAAGATCAGTTATTTCACTTTTTTTAAGTGGGCGTTTGGTTCGCGGAGTGTTTTGGAATGAAGATAATGTGTCGAATGAATTGGAATTAAACTGAATCACGTTTTGACCTCATCTTTGATTGGCAGGAAATGAAATGAAATTTGATTAAAATACCCACATTTTCATATTATCAATATATATAATAATAATATCAATTTGATGATTGTGGCAGGGTAGTGGTGGTGAAATTTGTCATTCCAATTCCATCAAATTTCGAAAAAAAGAATGCTCAGGAATTTTTGTTCAAAATGCGAAAAGCATGTAAAAACATCAAATTTCCATTCTTTTAAGTGCAGAATCATGTTTTCACATATGCAACTTCAGAACCTAGCAAGAACATATCTATAGAAGCTAATCCTTTAGAAAGTAGCAGCAGATTTCCAACCCTGCTTTCATACATATTAAAATTGTCGCTTATAGATGAAGCAAGCCGGATCTCGTGTTCAACATCTCAACAGCAGCTCGGGTTAAAGATGCATCTTGCAAAAACGATTTGATTTTTGGCCTCAAGCGGATTCTATACACGTACCGTAAATAAAGAGTAGCCTCTGCTCTTCTATATCCCAAATTCAACAATAATCCAAGAGCCAAATGACCCCTGTGAAGAAGATAACATCAAGATTAACAATACTCCCTCTTCCTGAATGGGCTACATTTAGACCCTAACAATATTCAAATAAACGATAACAGGATATCATAAGTAGGAAAATGACCTAAGAGTTTGGAAGTAGGCGTCCGTTATACATCTTATCAAGCAATTGTCGGGCATCAGGCCTCCTAAGAAGACCTTTGTTGTTGGGTAAACCAGTACCTAAACAAACAGGACACACAAGCCTTCCGCGACCTGTATTCCGAAGCAACAACGAAATGAGACATGAAAGAGATCAACACGATTATTAGTATCAATAACAAGAAATATACCGTAACAGTTGGGGCATTCAGTGAATTCATACGTATCTTTAGCCCGTTTTCTGTTTAAAGCTTTCCATTTTCCTGTACCACCACACATATCACCTAGATAGAAAACAAAAATCTCATGGACTAAGAGTTGAAATTAGAATCGAGTGGAAGACATTCGACATTCTTCCAATCATGTGAGATTAAGCTTTCAAAACACTGATGGTGCGTTTGGTATGTGGGACAGGACGAGACAAAATTTTGTGGTACCATGCTTGGCGCAACATTAGGCAGGGGCAGGATGGTCCCACCAAAATAGGTGGAACAAAAATTTAAGGAAAAATGGAATAAGATTGGTAAATTATCAAACTACCCATGTCCAATTAAAACCCTAAAACCTTTCACAATTTTTTCACCCACCTACCTCACTCGCGCTTGTCCAGTCCCGTCCACGTACCATACACATCCTGAGAGGTAGTTCAACTTGTAAGAGCTTTCGTTTGCTCCCTAAAGGTCATCTGTTCAAGTCCCCTTAGAGCCACCAGAGGGTTTGTCCGACTGTTAACTTCAGAGCCCCAAACTCCCACGGTTTCCAGATTAAGGTTCCAAGCTGAGTGTTCATTGTTTGCGAACGGTAGCAAATGCAGGAAAAAGATCAAAGCAAACAGCAAAACTTACATATAATAGCACCACTACCCCCACAGTTTCGACACCCTGGTCTTTCTTTGGCATCAGAAGCAATTGCCTTGGCCTCAATATGGGAACTAGTCGAATTGCTTATCAAAGCAAAGGACGAAGCTAAACATGCTAGACATAGTCTTCTTGATGTCGATGGGTTTTGAGTCTGTCAAGATCAGTTGCATTTTGAAATCATTATCGGAATTGCAAATGTCTAAAATCTGGCATAATAATAACCGTCAGGAGAATGAAATATCTACTATCCTTTAACCTATTAGAACAATCAGCAGCTGAAGGCATAATGACTGTTACTGAGAAGACACAGACCTTTGTGGTGATAGGTTCCAGCGAGGTGTCTGGAGCATCTGCAGAGGAGCTCTCGGATTCTAAGCTAGATCGCACACGATAGCTTACTAACTTCAAATTGGCTAGTCATCAAAACCAAAGAAGTAAGTTGCTAAAAACATACAGCCCACAAAAAAGAACAGAAAAAAAGAAAGAATCTGTTGAAGAAATCCTCTGATTACCTTCAAGTATTCAATCCATCACCCAGAATGGGTATAAAGAAAATATAAGCTTTTGGAAGAAAAAAAGTTTAGCTTTTGAAAATATAAAAACATGAATGATTTTCTTCATATTAATCATCATCGGTGCATAAATAACCAAAAGAATTATAGTCTGCAATTCGCCAATATGAATGATTTTGAACAAATCATGCACCACAGATAAACAACCATTTCTCCCCAAAGATTGCACGACAGTCGTGTTTCCTTTTGGCTTTTGAACAAATCATTCACCACAGATAATCAAATTAATCCTTTTCATTCGTACTGATTCAATAAACAAAAATTCACAAAAGAATCAGATAAATAAAAACAATATTGAGTTGGAAAAAAGAAAACTTCTGCCGGTTTCCAATTTGAATGCCACTATCACGAATTTCCCTGAGGCATGAGTATGACCCTATCCAATGTTGAAATAAATATCACGCAATTATCCAGACTCATGAAATACAGATATCAAACAATCACAGAACGCCAAGCAGAAGATCAGAAAACTCGTGGTTGGAACTTGAAAAACCCTAGATTGTTCAATTGAGAAAGCAGAGAGAGAGTGAAACTTACGGCGTAGACCATGTGGAACGTTTGATTGAGCAGAGAGACCTGTGATTGCGGAGGGTGAGGGAGAAGAAAGGTGAAACGCCATTTTTCCCCTTCTGGACAGAGCTCTGTATGGACATTAGCAGCAAAGCAACACCGTTTATTGATCAGGATATGCCTACGAGGACGTGGCATATTGCTAACCGTTAATTTAAGTTACTACTCCCGCCACCCTCAAACCATCCTTCTTTCAATAATGATCCCTGTACTTTGGCAAAATGATCAATTTGCTCCCTATAAACAATTTAAAGTTTTAAACATTGTTTTCCAAAGTGACATGATATTACAAACATAACCTGATTTAGGAACCGTTCGGATGAACATAACAAATGTTGAAAATTTTACCCAGATAAGGACTCTCACCGGTAAACACTTATCAGATACATTGTTACATTACCGTTTTGATAGACTATAATCTTACCCGATAAATAAAATTATAGTTTTTGACTCTTACCAAATAAGCATTTACGTAAATACCCGTTAAGGTTATTTTTCTAAAAGTGGGCTGTTTTTAAATTTTAAGTTTTTAATTCAATAAAAATAGTTTAGTAATTTATGAATCTTGTCCCAACCCGTCTCGGGTCTAAATGTGACGGACAAGTTTTAGTACCAAAGGCACTTGGCCTGAGATTGGACCAGAGCCTGGGGTTAGACTTAGTTTGGTTAATAGAGGAAGGAGGCAACTATACAGCTTCAAAATTAAATACAATGCTTTTACAACAGTAAGACATCTACTTCTGGAAAGAAAAAAAAACCTAACATCAATTCTTTTACCATTACAGAAGTCACCAGCACAGTTAAAGAAAACAAGATAAAAATGGCTTCTTCCTCCTTCCCCCCCATCATCTAAATGGCTCAAGAGACTGTTCTTCCATAGCAAACACAAGCAAGATATAAATTCTTTGCCCACTTCTCCTGCATTTTCCAAACATTCGATCAATCAATCTTCCTTGCACAAAAAGGTGAAAAACCATAAATAACAAAATGGAAATATCCAATCTAACCTTGACATGTGTGCTTGGAAACTGAGATGTTCGTAAAGTTTCCTGTGTTTCATCCCCTGGTTTACGGCGGGGAACACTCAAGATGAGAGCCGCCTGATCCCAAGTAGCAGCAGTAGATGTGATACGGTAACCATTATCCCATCGTCTATGGATCCCCTCGCTTGGATACAGAAAATCCAGCTCCACCACCTGATCACTGAACCCAGCATTCCTAGACATCACAACACCCCATCGTGTTCCTGCTGTTGCCATTGACGTCACATGGAATCCTTCTCTCCACTTCTTGTTTATCCACTTGAAAGGGAACGACTCGCTTACTTTGTAAGATTGTTGAGAATACTGGGTCCCTGCAAATGATATTCACAATTTTAACTGATATCTAAAATAAAATCCATAGGAGACAACAAAAACTTCTTGTCCCACATTTGGTGTGACAATTAGAATGGGACCAGACAGGACTGAGTCGTACAAAAATGGATTTTTTCTGTCCCACCAAAATAGGTGGGACAAAAGTCATGAAGATGGACAAGCTTGGTAAATTACTAAACTACCCATGTTAAATTAAAACCCTAAAACCCTCCACAACTTTCTCACCCGCCTGTCTCACTCGTGTCCAATTCAGTCCTGTGAGGTCATTCGCTTTTCTATACCGTCAACTGCCACCAGTGAATACCCCCTAAGAAGTCTACAAACCTTTTGACATCACCACAAGAGAGCTCCCGTTGTTAGCACCAGCAATGGAGCTGATGTAATAGTTCTTCTCCCATTGTTCCATAATCCATTCCTATAATACAGACAAGTTGGATCAACAATAATAGTTACTCCACAATGCTTTTGCAACACAAAATAAATTTACAGGGAATGGTGTGGGCATCTACTACCTTATGTAAAAAGAAAGGAGACAGTTCATAAACTTGGCTTGAGAAGCCAGTTCCAGCATCCATTATAAGAGCCCACAAGTTGGAACAAGAGGCCACCGAACTAATAAGTAAGCCGTCTGCATTTCCCCTCTCAACATGTTGTGCCAGTCTTCCATCCGCAACATTGTAATGGTACCTGATTATGCAGCACCATAAATGAAAACTAAATCACAGTTGCAGAGAAGTGTTATACAATCAAAGTTGTCCCCATAACAAGTAGCAACTGGATAGTAAATCAAACAGAAATCTCCCATGAATGTTTTACTATACATGGTCTCAGTAAAATTACAATGAGCTTAAAGTAATGAATGACATTATGAATCTGAAGGGATGGGATACATCTTCAGCTCATGGCAAGAATGAATAATAATGGACATATTATTATCATTAAAGTTGTAAATGATCAAAAAAGTAGATCTTCAAGTTCATGTGAACTTAACTGCAGAAAGGTTTTCAACTATACAAAAACACGTAAAGTTTGTTAAGGCTGAAAAGCAAATCATAGGAACATATATTTATATCATATAAGAGGCCACAGATTCCCACACAAATCAACCCAAAAAGCATGGCTTCTTGTTTGCATACAATCTTACGCATATGCAAAGGCAAAATGTTGACCTGCTTGACAAAGAAAAAATGAAAGCAAAGCATAGTGGTGGAAAATCATGCACCTCTGTTTCATGGGTTGCCTGGCATTATAAACAGAAATCCACTGTGTCGCAGGAACTCCCATCCGGACCTTCTTCTTAGGTTGCCCATCATCTTCCTCATCAAGATTCAATCTGCCTCGTTTTTGGCCAACTTGAAATATAATCTAAGAAGGAAAGCAAGTTAGAAACAGTAAATAACTATTCCATAAAACCACACTATGAAAACAGGCATCACCTTTTGAGCACCATCGGTATTTATTGGCCTTATGGCAGGATTTGGGCCTAGCAAGCCCTCAAACAAAGATATGAGCTTGGAATAGTTAGGCTCTTCATCAAACTTCATGTTCACAACTATCTCAAGAAATTGCTTTAACGGAGCAGGGCAGAAGCAGCACAACATTTCAGGAGATGTGGCCATTTTCTTCTTGCAAACTAGAAATGATTTATTGTCCCCCTAAAAACACAACAGTATGCTTGGTATCAGATTATTAAAACACAAAATATAACCTGCCACAGGGAGATTACGGTGTAACCAAACTTAAATACCTGATACCCTTGCCAAGGCAGTCTACCGCGGTGAAGAAATACAAGTGTATACGCCAGAGATTCTAGATCGTCTCTTCTACTGGCTGTCCTTCCCAGGTGTGCATGCACGCTAGCATATCTAACCGTTCCTCTGCAGTAAACATGACAAAGATATGATACACAGATCAAAAGGATATTACGTGTGTATTATACGTCATTAAGAGTTTGCTTCACTTGGTAAAATTATATTTTACCTAAACATGTCAGGCCTCTGATCATAATCAACATGTTGACCATTAGCACTCTCTCGCCACTTTGTTGCTGCATTTCATATATCAATGAATGCATTACATAAAAATCAGAAAGAAAGGCAAAACCATCATGAGATGGTAATAAGATGTCTTACCTAGCCCCAGGTCAACAAGAAATAGTTTCTTTTCTTGAGATGTTGATGGTTGACCAAGCAAAAAGTTCTCTGGCTTTACATCTCCGTGTACGTAACTAATTCAAATAGTAGTCAATCAATTTAATGACATATAAGAAACAAACATAAACATGACTCTTGCCATGAACAAGAGAGAAAGCATCTCAACTCAAGCACTAATAACAAAGAATAAGAACAATTAGAATGTCATACCCTCTTGAATGCATCTTTTCCAAAATCGACAAAGATTCCACAGCTATACAAGCTACCATTTCTGATGACATCCTGGCAAACAGGCAACAAATCAACAAACAAGATATAAGGAATGCAGTGGGAGCATTGATCATAGATTTGCATATTGCTCATTATTGTAAAGAAAGCATCTCAAGGAGTGGAGCACAAAATTTTGGTGGCAGTGAACACAAGTACACAACTTAACCACCCCAATTTTATGGGGTACGCAGCAGCAGCAAAACAAAAAGAAGCAGCAAGAGCCCAAGTATGGCTGCAAATTAAAATGCAAGTTGCAACACAACCAACACTCTGCTGATCTAACTTATCCCGTGTATCATTGGTAAATTGTCTTAAACAGCAGAAACTATTATTTCAACAAAATAAATAGCTCCAGAACCAAGTTAAATCAGCAAACATTTGCAGCCTTTCTCCATCAATATGTATGTATATATATATATATATATATATATATATATATATATGGTAAACAATTTGAAATTAATGTTCACTGATGTTATGGACAGGTACATTATGGCATCTATATATGAGGAATCGATCATTGTAATCAAGCAAAAAACATGCTGGTATTGGGAAAAAAACCTTATTGCTAGCCTATGGCATGATGAGATTTACTCTTTACAGAGCACATTCACGGATGGAAATATAATGCTAAAGGAGCAAGGGCAAATGAACAGCAGTTTGGTAACTGTCATTAGCTTCAGTCCAAGGCAGATTACCTGATATTAATCAATATATTTAAATCAATTCTATATCCTATAGCAAAAGTGGGGTAACAGAATACAGATAATTATTACACTTCATATAGACAGCATCAAGGATCTCTTTATAGGTTCAATCAAATGAATAAACATGCCTTTTTTTCTATTACTCTTGGTGTGCAGTTTCCATGAAACAACTCAAACACAAAAATACTCAAACCCAATAAAACAAGTTGCCTCCTCTGAAATGCTAGATTAAAATACAATAAACCACACGATAAAGAGCAATAAGCATCGTTTTATGTTAACAAGCTTAAAAAACTCACGATTGCCCAGAAGAATTCCAGACATCCCACAAACTAGGCCCCAGCATGTCCATGACCTGGAATGTAAGAACAAAAGACAATCATTGATTTATGTTATAAAGTTATTCATCTAGATGAACAAGAAACTTACTATCATACCATCACATAGTAGTCTCCTTGTTTTCCTTTATAGTGAACTTTAGGCACTCCATGACTGCCACCAAGAGTACTGTTCGGCCAACAAACCCCATGTCACTTGTTTAAAATTTGAAAAAGAACTACGTTGATCTTATTACTTATTGAAAAAAATGGATACATACTTGTAAACTTGCCACTCATATGGAGGACCATAACTGCAGCCTTTGCTGTTTCTATGCTCAAACTTAAGAGCTACCTGTCACAACCAGAATTAATGAAAATGAAAAATCAGATTTTATAGAAGATTACATAATATATAGAATCCAAACTTGATTGCTTGGTAGAACATTACCTCCATGGCACCGGGACCTGATATGCGTTCAGTTCCACCAGAAACACGACGACCTACAAATACCTGACCAAACCCACCTTTGCCTAACTTTCTTTCAACCTTATATTGAGGTGATCCACCTACTTGAACCTGGAAACAGACCGAATAGGAATCAAATAAACTAGCTGATCTTAATTGGAATATTTCTATAACCTATGCAATAATCCTTCCACATGGTAAGTCTAAGATAAACAATGGAACAATATGATCAAGACCACATGATTCCTTTTAAAAAAAAATTATCTCTGACTTTTTCTTTCTTTTTGTTTCTGAAACAGTAGATCTCTCATTTTTAAGTAAAGATTGGCATTGGCGTCAAAGAAGATGATATGAAAGAACAGGCATGAGTATGATGCTTATACTCTCTAGGCCTATAAATTTCATATTAAGATGCTTTGATTAAATATACGAATATAGGTTCCAGCTTTAAATGCCATGTATCAGCATATGAAACAGTTAATCTCAGCATTTCCACATAATCTTTTTGATAAGTATAATGAAATAGTTGCTAGCTAGCCTAATCAAACCACCAATATGGGCAAGTAGCTTGCTGACTCATTGTCACACCTTAGAATGGGGAAAGCCATGCAAATTAGTACACATCTTATGTGAACTGCAATAAATATGATTTTGAATTAAATGTCTCTAACTTAAGCATTCCTCATGTAACATAATAACTGGTTTACAGATCGTCCGATCACTCCAAAAGTAGGAATTGCTTCATGAGCTATCTAAGGATTAAAATTGATGATTAAAAGATTGGGAGTACCGAGTATGAGGCAAACATCACAATCAGAAAACCAGAAAGAACTTCCATTTTTGTTTGTAAGGAAGAATAAATTATAGGAATACATAGAAATGCAATCCCTAATTCACAAAGCCAAGAGACAGCTGCTATATTTATGACACCTTGCCCATCCATATTCGAAACCATAAATATTTGAGTACACGGGTGCTCATTAGTCCACCCCCAAATCTGAAGTGGACAGATCAAGTGAGCATGGTTATTTTCAGTTTCCACAATACGGAGGAGAAAATGTCATGTTTCCTACAGTTCTCAAAAAGGGATCAAGAAAAAAAAACAATGCAACATTGAGTGAGCATATAGTTTCATATCAGTCGTTTCACATCTTTGCCACGTACCAATATAAATTAAGAATAAAGCCATATCTGGAATTCAGAATGCTCCTACTTCCCTAAAGTTGTCACCAGGGAGAGTGACAATATAAATCAAGAATAATACCATAAACAGTTTCCTCTTTGCACTTTACACTCTTATAAATCAATGCATTCGAATATTGCAGTTTTCGAGTGATTACAGTCTCATACTAAGGAGCAAAACAAGATATGTGATCATAAGACAATGTCACCCATAGCTAATACATTCATGATTCATGAATGGTAATTTTTCTAAGCGATCTGCCAGTTTATGGGATTCCATTATCGACAACGAACATCTAGTTTTACACAACTATTACTGGAAAACCTACTGAAACCGGAGGGAAAAGAGAAAAATGAAATCCGAAATCCCAAGGATTGAATTCTTTGATTTTTTTAGCCTCTCTAAGACTAATCAGGGGAACTTCCATTGTGATTGACAAGGATTGGATATAGAACAAAATTCCATAATTTTATTTTTTGAAGTATAACTAATTCATATGTTTTGCTGCTGAAATTAACATGTTAATTACTTCCTGGGATTAGGCACAAATCAAGATGTTGCATAAATATTGACGCATTAAAAAATGAATGGAACCATAGCGAGCATACCCTATCAGGAAAAGGGGCAGTATTCCCCTCCTCTTCCTGGCCGGTAACCTTGTTAGCGCTCAAACCACCGCTAGCATCCGCCATTGCTACTTCTTTGACTTTTTCTTGTGCGTCTTGTTTGTCCTCCTCCGCTTCAGAAATCACAACCACCGCCTTTGTTGCTAAACCTTCTTTTCTCTTGTTAGTCTGCCGCCGCAGCTTTTTTTCTTGCTTGATCTCAACCACAGCCGTGGCCGCCTCCCTAGCTGCAGCCGCTCGAGTCTTAACGTAATTACCAACCAAATGTTCCGATCGCTTCTTGGGCCTGCCGCCTCTCTTCTTTTCAACTACAGGAGCACGGGCACGGCGTACTCCACTGCGCAGCTCCGGCATTCTCTACCCATATAATTCGCACATAATAATAGCAAAAACCCACTAATTACTGAATCTACCATCATCTATGCTGAAACCCTAAACATAATCACTTAACCCTTGACCTCCAAAGAATTAACCCAAACAAGAATCAGAAAACGCTTTCCGCCAGAATTGATGGATGATTAGGAAACTAGATGATGCTGACTTTTGGAATGGTTTTGAAGAAGATATAGGCCCGTGCATGTATGTAGCTAGGTCAAATTTGGGAAGCCATCGGAGGGGCTGGGGAGAGAG